TTGTTTTCTGACATATATTTATATTCAAGACTTTAGCCGATAAATCTCTGTAATGCACAAGACCATAGTGAGTTTGTAGATACATGTATATTGCTGGTCGTGTTATATTTTAAATGACTGTCTACTTTGTAGGCGCATGTACTACCATAGCCTAACACTGCACATGAAAAAAAACCTAAGTGGGGATCAGGCTGGCTAAGTGGGTAAGACGCTGGCTCGCTAGCTTGGAGGTCGGGTGTTCGATCCCTGCATTGGTTGAGAAAGATGCATTATGTAAGAGTTAAATCTACCCACTGCAGGTCTTTTTTCTGGCTGGGGATCACGGTTGCTTGAAAGATGTTTTGTGTACAATCACTGATAAGAATGACATCGATGCGACTTAATGAGCCACAAATATTAACTTTTTTCCTCCGATAAATTAAATGCTAAAACATTTGTCATATGTATTAGAAAAATAAATAAAGACATTTAAAGTATTTGTAGGTAAAAATTATTTCCTATTTTAGTGTAAATGGGTATTAAAATGAGTAAAAGGCGCCGTTCTGCTTGAATCAGTAAGGTCTTATGTAAACAATGCATGCGCCATTGAGCCAATGATTAACGCCGCGTGATATGACGTCATGCGTTGAAGGCAGTCATCTTTTACAGAGATATTAGAAGACTTTCGTAATACTCTGTGAAACAGATTGGTATATGGATACGCATAGTAACACACCTCAAGCGGGGGGCAGTATTGACAGTTGTGGGTCTGAGTTTGATAGCATAGATTAATCAAAGATTGTTGTGTTACTTATACCCTTGCAATTTAAAGTGTATTTTTCTCACAGCTTAATACACCCTGTAGTATGTACTCAGATAATCTCCTGGCTTGGATTGGATTTAAAATAGGCCTGTCAATTCTGTTCGTCCACAACAAAATGGCGTCCAGCATAGATCTATGAAATTTCAATTCAACATATCATTGTAAATACTGAATGGAATTGAACTTTAATCATTACAATATTGTAGTTAGCAAAGGTTAAATATTGAGCCAAAAAGATGCAATGAGACTGATAAATTTAACAGTTTCTAACTGTTTTCGATAATCAAAGTTGGCATTATTTGTTTTGGGTGCAAGAAGACGGCTAAATATTCCGGCACCAACCCTGTGTTCTAACTCTCATTAAATGACTGGCATTAAAGGGGCATTATGGGAGATTAAATTAAATAAAGAGCTGGCAGGTTTTACTATAATAGTTAAAACTAGATAATGTAAAGGAAATATGCTGAAAATTTGAGTCAAATTGGTCAGATCAAGTGAATGTATCTGGGGATTATGGCAGTAACATTCTGCACAAAGGCAACTGTCTACTCTGCCTTGAAAATAGATCTCTGCCCTAAATGGCTGCCATATCCTTCAACTGGGATCCACGGTGGCCAAGTGGGTAAGATGCTGGCTCGCTAACCTGGAGGTCGCGTGTCCGATCCCTGCATTGGCTGAGAAAGTTCATCTGGATTTTCGGGTGTGGTTTCACTGTGTCAGTGGTGCAACGTTGGACGGGACGAAAAACTGAGGACCTGTGTATACATTTGATGTAAGAGTAGGCCATAGTGCCCCTGCCCAGGTAAAATTTCCCTCATAGCAAACTGTATGGTGTATGTTCGTCTTCATTAGCCCAGTTCAGAGCAGAAAAGTAGGATATTAAACCCCATTTCATTTCATTTCATTTGTAATGTGGTCTAAATGACATCTAGAACCATGGTTGACTATTCATAACAAAACACAACACAAGGTACCGGTATATATGGATAGAACTACTTCTCTATTATTTAATAATAATGTGACCTGTATGTGTTACAAAACGTCGTTATTAAATAATAGAGAAGTAGTTATATCCATATATATACCATATATATACCTTGTGTTGAGTTTTGTTATGAGGGGTATTTATAATGACAAACATCATAAAGATAAAATAATTAGGCTTTAAATATATACCATCAAATTACCTGATTACATATCACATAGAAAGTGTTATGGAAATTTGGTTGACAGATTTAATTACTGATTTTCATCCAAAACAGACAATACCAGTAATTAATGTGGGTGATTAACTGAAGACTAATAATGAGATCAAATATACCTAAAACTATTATAATGGACACTGTTTTATATAATTTTATATGATACATTGTTTCATAATTGACAGCGTGTGTATTTATATAAGTAGAAATCACTAAGCAATAAGCTTCAAGGTTGACTGGTTAATAACCAAGCTTATGTTTGTCCTTTTGCCATGTGCAGTATATATACTATAGCATATATTAAGATATGGTCATTGTATAAAATGTGTTCAATATGATTTAAGGGGATTTTTTATGGACTGTTTGGATATAGAAGCAGACTTGGAAATCATTCTTTAGTTGTACCTAAACTTTCAGACACGGATGAACTAGTAACAGCAGACATTTTAAACTTAATTGTGTCAGGCATTTATTATAAATATCAGTTAAAACACAGAAAAAAGACAAATATTTGCCAGACATATTGACAGTTGATAGTTGCTATGGCATCTCAATGAGGTCACAGATGACTAAATGACATCACAACTTTTTAGTAAAAATTCTATTTTTGAACAGCAGTGGGATTAACAGTTAAGGATGCCAGTCCAAGTTAAAGTGTCACCTGTGATGTCATTGGAAACAGTCTCGAACAATTATTCCTCACGGAAGACTGCGCCTTATGGACGGCAGGTTCTACTTCTCATGTGGAAAAATTATGTGGGTATAAAGCGGGCAAAATGTAGTACATCGTTTCTAGTTATTCTCCCTGTTGCTTTTGCGTTATTAATAATGATGATTCGATTTATAATAAACTCTTCGCAAATAGATGCACCTACTGTATATACTTCACAGACATTAAATTCTTCCAGGCTGGATAATACCATGTGTTTATACGCACCTAATAATTCACTGATAAACACTATTATCACGGACATGACTAGTGGAATAAACCAGAGTGGTAAGAAACCAATATAATAAAAATTGTATCCTTTTTTTCTTTTGTTTTCTGACATATATTTATATTCAAGACTTTAGCCGATAAATCTCTGTAATGCACAAGACCATAGTGAGTTTGTAGATACATGTATATTGCTGGTCGTGTTATATTTTAAATAACTGTCTACTTTGTATGCGCATGTACTACCATAGCCTAACACTGCACATGAAAAAAAACCTAAGTTGGGATCAGGCTGGCTAAGTGGGTAAGACGCTGGCTCGCTAGCTTGGAGGTCGGGTGTTCGATCCCAGCATTGGTTGAGAAAGATGCATTATGTAAGAGTTAAATCTACCCACTGCAGGTCTTTTTTCTGGCTGGGGATACGGTGGCTAAGTGGGAAAGACGCTGGCTCGCTAGCCTGATGGTCAGGTGTTCGATCCCTGCATTGGTCGCAAAAGTTCATTCAGATTTTCCGGCATGGTTCCCCCTTGTCAGTGATGCAGGACGGAGAGTCTGACAAGAACAGCTGTTTAGCTGTTTTCGGATGGGATGAAAAACCAAGGTCCCATGTATACATTGGCGTGTACGTAAAAGATCCCTCAACAGTTGAAATTCGATATAAGAGTAGGCCGTAGTGCCCAGTTCGAAGCAGAACAGTAGGACATTAAACTCCATTTCATTTCATTTTGAAAAGACCTAAGTAAAATATTTAAAGGAATTATATAAAACAAACCAAACACAAATTGAGAATGAATTTAATCCGATTATGTTAGAAAAACTGGGGGGTTGGATGGCTGAATGGTTAGCGCGCGCGCTGTATCATAAAGTCTGTCATTGAGTCGACTGTCGTGGTTTCGAATCCCCGGTTGTACGTGACAAGGAGTAGGGTCGCCTGTCCAACCTCATGGGTTTTCTCCGGGTCCTCCGGTTTCCTCCCACTGCTAAAGACCCCTACGCGCAAGCGAATTATTGAAATAAAATTAAACCATATGTTAGTCCCGAAATGACCTGGTTTGTGTCGAGTGGACGTTAAACTCCATTTCTTTCTTTCTCTCTGTTAGAAAAACTAGTATTTAGATCACACCTCTGTGATTTACTGTTACAAGGAGCATTGATCAATAGATAACTGCTTGAAAGATGTTTTGTGTACAATTTCAAAACTTGCAAATTTGTAACTTAAATTTTTTGTACAACACTACCAAGTTCTTTGATTTTTATATAAGACTTTTTTTAGAAGATATAACAAGAAAGGGGTTAGAAAGGTGTTCCAGAAAAACACAAAACGATTTTGTTTAGCCTTAGAAATGTTTGATTTTTATATACATCTGCTCTTGTGTTGTGTATCCGACTCTTCTTGTGAATACTTTAATTGCTTTGCCTACACATGGGGGGGGGGGTCGGATGGCGGAATGGTTAGGTCTGTGTGCATTGTATCATAAGGTCTGTCATTAAGTCAGCTGGCGTGGTTTCGATTACCTGGTTGTATGTGACAAGGAGTGCATTCGCCTGTCCAACCTTGTGAGTTTTTCCGGGTCCTCTGGTTTCCTCCCACTGCTAAAGACTCTTACGCACAATCAAATTATTGAAATAAAATTGAATTATATGTTAGTCCTGAAATGACCTGGTGTGCGTGGAGTGGATGTTAAGCCCCATCTCTCTCTCTCTCTCTCTCTCTCTTTTGCCTACACATACTGTCACATACATGTACTTTCGACAACGATTTTTAAAAATGATTGTATGATGGTAATTATACATTTGGGCCCAAGATGGAAAACTGGATGTCAAGATGGATACAAAACTAAAGTTTTAGACTTTAAGATTCCTTGAGTCTGCAATTTCAAGCCTCTGCTGCCACTCACTAAAAAGGAGTGGAAGACAAAGAGTATAAAATGATGACAATTCTAAATAATAAAGATTGATCACTGTTGCCTAAAATCTTTACTTCTGACAAAAAGATCAGGAGTTATATTTTTTATTTTATCAAAATTTTTAAAATTTTAATCTAATTTTTGTATTTCAGTTTCATCAATGGGTTTTCCTACGGAAGAAGAATTATTGAATTATTACACGTTAAATCCGGAAAATATATCCATAGCGATAGTCTTTGAAGATATGACAGCAACAACTTCTGTTCTGCCTAAAAATATCAAATATTCCTTACGACCAAAGGAAGACGACGTTTCCAACTGGAGAACAGATAGAACGGTTCCGTTTGCTCAAACGGGTGGACCTCGAACAAATCCTGATCCAGGTAAGCAAAAAAGTCATTTATTTGCCCTGCCATATATATAGTGTCCACTTCAGATCATTAGGTCTGTCAGTGAGTCAAGTGGCATGGTTTCAATTCCCCACTTGTAAGTGAGAAAAAGTAGGGTTGCTTGTTTTCTTTGGGTCCTATACTTTCCTCCAACTGGGGGGTTGGATGGCCGAATGGTTAGCACGCGCGCGCTTTATCATACATGAGAAGGAGTAGGGTCGCCTGTCCAACCTCGTGGGTTTTCTCCGGGTCCTCCGGTTTCCTCCCACTGCTAAAGACCCCTACGCACAAGTGAATTATTGAAATAAAATTGAACCATGTGTTAGTCCCGAAATGACCTAGTTTGTGTCGAGTGGACATTAAACCCCATTTCTCTCTCTCTCTTTTTTCCTCCAACTACTAAATACATGTATCTGATTCCATACAACCTAGTTTGTATTGAGGGATGTTAACCCCATTTCTCTCTCTCCAGATCTTGTAGATGATTTTTCCCCCAAAAATAGAAATATAAAGAATAAAAATGTCAACTGATTTGGTGATACTTTACCTGTACTAATGTAGCACCATGGGCCTTCTGTCAGATGTGGAGATCGGAGCTTCTCAAACCTGTCGCCACAATTTACGTACGACCCATGCATCTTTTCTTACTACATATTTTAGTAGCATTTTGATCGTCTAGTATTTTCACTTGTCATCTTTCTTCCCCTTCATCTTGTGTATTTACTTCTTACTGGTTTCCTAAAGACTTTTGTCTTCTCAGTAGTTATAACATGGATACAAGCATAGTATAGATTACAATACTAAACCTCATCCAGCCAGACTCACTGGGCGAGTCTGCTGATAGAAATTGTTACATATTTTCCCTTCTGGAATCAAGCTGTTGTCTAACGAATTCTCACAAATATGATAGTTTTGTAGCTTGGGTTTTGACGTTCAATTATCTAATTGTTCAAATATGATGTAAATAATTAGAGAGATTGGTTAATTGACGTTAAATGATGTCGAAACCCACCCTTATATGGTTAAATGGAAATTTACTGGAGAAACTTCCCATGAGATATCTGTTATCAACCTAGAGTTGAATGTTTACCTCATTATGGCTCTTTTTTTCTATAACAATATGTCATTCATTCACTAAGTTGATTTAAGTACATACTGCATATATGTGAATCTTATAACTTGCCAAAGATATTAATTAATACAATATAATGCCATCATTAATTTCAAGGGCAAAAATTCTACAAAAAGTGTTAAACTAAAGCTTTAAAATCCAACAGAAAGTAGGCTTACATAATATTCATTTGTTTGTGGTTAATTACATATTCATTGCTATTATTATCAAGTCTGTTGAATTAAAGCTGTTGACAGTGATTTATTGCCTGGCAAACTATCTTTATGATACGCCCACATTTTCATCCTCTGTCGGTCCATTCACATTTTGATTGTGAACACTCTACAGGTCACAATTTTTATCCAATTTTGGCGAAACTTAAAATATAGGTTTATAAATTGCTTTCTTTTGATAATTTTGCATATCCTAATGTAACTTCCTGGATTATGGCTTGTGATTGTTCGAAAAAATTTATCCGATTTTGATTAAACATGCATTATGCAAGAGCTAAATCTGCCTATTGCAGGTCTTTCTTTTGGCCTGAAATGTTTTCTAAAGTATTAATTAGACATTAATTAACTGATCCAGGCCTTAATCAACTCTCGATGGCATCAGATTTCTCCGATATTAAATAGATTAGAATGGTTCAGCGATACTTTGATTTAATCAAATATGGAGGACCGAGACATAGCTTCGATCAACCAGTACGGTGGTTGAAATTATTGCACACGTCTGTCAAACCTTCAAAGGCTAATATCTTCGCTTGCAATAGAGTAATTTGAATGAAGTTTTCAAATTATTCATTTTACATCATCTACTTTCGAACTATTCTAGCAAGAATGGCTAGTTCTTTATCTAAATCTTACATAATGTATCTTTAAACTGAAAATATATCTTTATATCCCAAATACCTCGATCAGTCTGTTTCGATATTTGCGCATTTCAGACCACAACTTCCTGGATTATGGCCCCTGATTTATGAAAAATCCCCATTTTTTTTTAGCTTGTTCTCTATCCGTCTCTTGTTACAAACTGTGGGCATATCTTGCCTGGCAACCCGTAGTTTAAATTATTTCAATTATATTTTGTCAAAAAGATGATTAGGTGTCCAGCTTGTCTTGATCCTATGAACTGTTACTTCCTGAAAATAGGGGGGTTGGATGGCTGAATGGTTAGCGTGCGCGCGCTGTATCATAAAGTCTGTCATTGAGTCGACTTGCGTGGTTTTGAATCCCTGGTTGTACGTGACAAGGAGTAGGGTCGCCTGTCCAACCTCGTGGGTTTTCTCTGGGTCCTCCGGTTTCCTACCACTGCTAAAGACCCCTACGCGCAAGCGAATTATTGAAATAAAATTAAACCATATGTTAGTCCCGAAATGACCTAGTTTGGGTCGAGTGGACGTTAAACCCCATTTCTTTTTGTCTCTCTCTCTTTCTTTCCCAAAAATAATAAAATGGTTTTATGTGTTCATGTTTTCAGATTATATAGGGACATCATTTTTGGTATACCAGACCTTGATGGATCAGGCTATTATCAGAACCTGGAATTCAACAGCTGATTTCTCCAACATTAAATTTGAATTACAGAAAATGCCGTACCCACCATATTTCAAGGATCCTATGATAATAGTACTACAGCAACAATTACCGTTATTGTTATTACTCAGTTTTATACTTAACGTTATAATGACAGCTAAAAGTATTATTTATGAAAAAGAAAGAAAATTAAAGGTAGATATTACATTGGGAACCTACTTGTATTTATGCTTTCCCAGTTATTCATACTTTTTCATACGCTCATATAAGGCTGATGTCTGACAAAAGAAAAAATGACAACCACAATTACTAGGTTTAAGAATAAAGTGGATGTCAGTTTCGTTAGCCCTTGACCTTCAGGACTAACATCTGATACCACTTCTCATTTGGTGTTAAATAACATGGCTAACATCTGATACAACTTCTTATTTGAGGGGTAAACATGGCTAACATCTGATAACACTTCTCTGATATCATCTGATATCACTTCTCATTCAAGGACTCAACATGGCTAACATTTGATATCACTTCACATTGAAGGACTCAACATGGCCAACATCTGATAACTCTTCTTATTTGAGGAGAGAACATGGCTAACATCTGATAACTCTTCTTATTTGAGGAGCCAACATGGCTAACATCTGATAACACTTCTCATTGGATGTTTTAACATGACCAACATCTGATATCACTTCACATTCAAGGACTCAACATGGCTAACATCTGATAACTCTTCTCATTTGAGGAGAGAACATGGCTAACATCTGATAACACTTCTTATTTGAGGAGCCAACATGGCTAACATCTGATGTTACTTTTCTAAGTAGTAATTGTATTCTATAGAATTGTGACCTGTATATTCCATTTGAATTACTAAACACCATTTTTCTGTTTTTTTAAGGAATCAATGAAATTGATGGGATTAAGTAATGCAGCTCATTGGACAGCATGGTTTCTAACTGTATTTATATATCTAACAGTAGCTATGATTATCTATACTTTATTAATGGGTTTGCCGATATCACCTAAAGGACCCGTTCTTACCAATACAGACCCATCAATTATATTTGTATTTCTGATGTGTTATGGTCTATCGATTATTGCCTTCAGTTTTCTCATCTCCGTTTTCTTTAATAAAGGTAAGGCATGTAACATTGTAAATGTAATTTTTTAGAGGCATTTAGTAACTGGATAGAGCAATACAATACACAATAACACACACTAATGGAAAAACGGCTACTTATTTATTTGGGTGACGTTTCGAAAAGTATTCTTTTCACGTAAATGTAGAGGTAATAATATAAGAAATATAAGTTTCAGACAGATATGTTTTAAAACATATATACATTATGCAAGAGCTAAATCTGCCCATTGCAGGTCTTTCTTTGGGCCTGAAATGTTATCGAAATCATTAATTAGACATTTATTAACTTATCCAGACCATAATCGGTTCTTGATGTCATCGCTAGCCAGCAATACATTTAGTGAAAAATAATTAAACGTAAAATGGATAATCAAGACTTTCTTTTTATCGCACCGATCTTCGTAATGTTGATCAAGGCTAGCCTAAAATTCAAAAGCTAATATCTTGGTTCACTGTGGAGCAATTTGACTGAAATTTTCAGCATATTCTATTTACATTATCTATTTTGTAACTATTATAGCAAGAACTGTCAACTCTTTATCTAGTCTAACATAATGCCCCTTTAATAATTGCTATGTTATCTGGTCACATTACACGTTTTCCAGATTGTAAATTTTGATTGTAAATGTGATATTTGTCCTGGGGCCCGTTTCATGAAATTTTAACTAAGATAAAATCCAAATTTAGTAATTTGATTGGATAATATTAGATTGATTTTGGTGCGCTTAGCCAATCAAAATTGAAGTATCTACTAAAATTGGATTTTATCTTTAGTTAAGATTTCGAGAAACAAGGCCCAGGGGGGTTTGTTGACAAAGATTTTAAAGCTATCATCAGTAACTTTGCTTGTAATGGCCACAATATGGTGCTGCCCTATCAGTTATAAATATATTGATCTGTGTTAAAAATGTTAGATCTAATTGATAAGGCCAACTTCAAGTTTGGTCAAAGGTCATGAGATGTAAACAGGGCTAGTGCTAATCCCAACCCTATCCCTAACCCTGGAACTAGCCCTAATGCTTACCCTAACCCTTACCTACAATCTCGCCAACAATCAATTGCCCAAACCTTATTTACATCTCAGCGACCTTGACAAAAATTGAGTTGGCCATAACAAATAGTTCTAGCTGTGATTAAACATGTCTTCTATTTTCAGCTAATGTTGGTGCTGCTGCTGCTGGAATTCTCTTCTTTGCTACTTATGTACCATATTTCTTTATCTCCACTAATTATGAGACAATGACTAGAACTGAGAAACTAGCAGCTTGTCTCTTATCAACACAGGCTATGAGTATGGGAGCTTATACTATCGGCCTATACGAAGGAACAGGTACAGACAAAAGCTTTTATTCTTTTGATAATAACTTTATGTTAATATTTGTAGGATAAAGCACAGGGCTGCGATTTTGCTGGGGAAAGAAAGACTGAAAAAAATAACCTGAGAAAAAGAAAAACCGAGGCCGGCAAGCCTAGCCGATGTTTTTCTGTCAAGGGTTTTTTCAGAAGTTTTTCTTCCCCAGCATAACCAAAGTCAAGGACTTTATCTTGCTTATAAACCGTCTATGTTTACATGTATGCAAAATGAGAATATCCCAGAATTCCCATAAGAAAAACCTCAAATTATTCCGGGCATAGAATATACCCCAAAGATCAAAGAGATTTACTGTTACAGGTTTATAAGATAAAATAAAGCACAAACTTAGGTTTAGAATGTGTGGGAACAACTTTTGTGTTTCATCAAATCCTATGGAATTCTTTGAATTGCAATCTGATTAGAATACAGATCTATATTTTGTTTCGTTTTTTTTATACTTTCAATGGCCTCTACTGAATGAAGATCTGACCAGTTGTAGTGGGAGGTCACATTAGGGGTCATACGAGCGACCTTTGACCATTGATGTCAAACATTTAATTAACCAATCATCGTTGATGTTTCTAGTAGGATACCCACAGAACTTGCTGCAACAGACCGCTTCATTGGCTAATCCCTCACACTAGACCCTAATGTAGTACAGACAAGTAAAATGTAATTTTGAATTATGAAATACAAAGCGAAATAGGATCTGTGTTTTAATTAGATTATTTGAATTGATGACCCTTAGAAAAAATGTGATTTTGATTTACATGTCAAACAGTTTGTTTATAATCTGTATATTTATTTTATTACAAATAGGTGATGGTATACAGTGGAGTAATATAGCTGAACCTGCTACAGTGGATGATAATTTCTCAATGTTGGATGCCATTTTAATGATGTTAGGTGATACAGCTATTTACATGATAATAGTTTGGTACGTGGATAATGTACATCCAGGAGAATTTGGAGTTCCGAAACCATTTTATTTTCCGTTCACTGTAAGTTTTATTCCTCCATTAATAATACCAATTAAAACTATAATAATGTACCATATATTAAAACCTGTGTTTTGATGGTGAAATATAAGATTATATAAATATATAATTATATACAATTATGAAAAAAATTATATGAAACATACAATTAAATAAAATATACAATTAAATAAAATATACAATTAAATAAAATATACAATTAAATAAAATATACAATTATTGAAAAATATACAACTATTGAAAATATACAACTATTGAAAATATACAACTATTGAAAAATATACAATACAATTATTGAAAAATATACAATTATTGAAAAATATACAATTATTGAAAAATATACAATTATTGAAAAATATACATTATATTAGAATAAAGTCTACAATTATAGTCAAAATAAGATCTATAATTATTTACTTCATAGTTTAGGTACCGTAATTTAAATCTCATTTGAAAACAACTTAAGCAAAGATTATTTAACAATTTATGAAATGCTTTGTTTTGTTAGAGATCTTACTGGTGTGGAAATAAAACAGCAAATTTCTCAAACATTGCTGCATCAACAAGTGATCCAGCACATTTCGAAAAAGAGCCGTCAGGCATGAAAGCTGGTGTTACCATATCTGGTCTGAAAAAGGTAAATAAATTGTGATTATACATGTACATGGCTTTCACTTCAAAATATATTTTAAAAAATATGATAATATTCAACATAATCCCAATTTAAATACACTTATTGTTTACTATAGATGCATTATGTAACATTTAGATAAAGAGCAGACTGTTCTTCCTATAATAGTTTGAAAATAGATTATGAACAAAGATATGAATGTTTGAAGTTTTGACAGTAAATAGTCATGATAAACAGAGTTATCCATTTGAACATTTAAAGAGTAGATATTTAATATCTCAACCATTTGATGGTCTGAAGAGTTGGTCATGTTAATAAATGTTGAGATTATAATTAATATAACATTTGAAGCCAGAAAAAAGAACTGTAATATGAGCAGATTTTACTCTTATATAAAACATCTTTTAAGCTATAATTCGTAGAAATTTTGATTTTAATTTGTAAAATTCACCTGTGTAATTGATCCAGAAGCAAGGCAAAATATCCAAGAACAACCATCAAAATATAGGCTTAAAATGAGTTGTTTCTGATTTAGGAGTTTAAAACGGGAGGTAAAAAGAAGAAAGCGGTTAATAATATGAACTTGAATATGTTAGAAGGTCAGATATCTGTTTTATTGGGTCATAACGGAGCTGGAAAAACAACAACAATGTCCATGTTAACAGGTGAGTTACAGAAAACCTTCAGAGCTACAGAACATTGTCAATTACAGAGCACACAACTTACAGAGCAGCCAGTTCTGCTGCTGCTGGAGGATCCAGTATAGATAGTCTTTTAAAGTTACAAAGCAAACAGAGTAATGGATCAGGAAAAACATTTGAGTCATTATATCCAATTCCACTGCTGATGTAGATCAGTAGCTACAAGCTACAGTACAGCACGCTTGTAACAGAGCATCAATGAAACTTTAAGGCTTTCAGAGTGGATTATGAAAAACTTCCGAGTCATTACATATAATGAGTCGCAAAAATGTGTTCATTTGTTTGGAAATTATTCCTGGGACAAGCCCCCAGGACCCGAATTTGGCTCGCTAAACTGACATCCCCTCAAACTTCTATTTCGTTCCAACAGGCTTGATATATGGCTTTGTGTTTTTCGACAAAATATGTTCTGATCCTAAGTATGTTGTAATGCAAAAATATATGATATATGAATAATTGGATTTTATGACCTGCAATTTAAAGCTTTTAATATAATATGATTATTATAGGTTTTATAACACCAACCTCAGGAACAGCTATTGTTAATGGTTATGATATAACAACTGATATAGCTGGTGTTCGAGAAAGTCTTGGATTATGTCCACAGCATAACATACTCTTTGATACCATGACTGTTGACGAACATCTGGAATTTTTTGCATTGGTAATTATAGTTTTTGTGTATTTCATGAATCTTATGATTTTGTTGATTTTTTTTTTCCCCACGAAATTTCAAATAAAATGGAATGAGATGAAATGGGGGTTTAACATCCTACTGTTCTGCTCCAAACTGGGCTAATGAAGACAGGCATACACCATACAGTTTGCTATGACGGAAATTTTGCCTGGACAGTGGCTCTATGGCCTACTCTTATATCGAATTCCAACTGTCAAGGTATCTTTTACGTGCACGCCACACGGGACCTAGATTTTTTTCCCATCTGAGCGACTAGACAGCTGTCCTTGACAGGCCCTCCGTCCTGCATCACTGACAAAGGGGAACCACGCCGGAAAATCTGGATGAACTTTCTCGGCCCATGCAGGGATCAAACACCCGACCTCCAGGCTAGCTAGTTTAAATTCAATTTATTTCCTTACAACATATACTCTTCAAAAAAAGTAGGGGATATTGAAATGCAAATACCTATGCAGGTTGTGATATAATAAATAGTCATGGACACTTGACATACTTTGAGAGTATGTTCACAGATGAAGAACTTATCACCCCAACAGAACCACTGAGCTGCACATGCGACACGCAATAGCGCCATACACGTGGGAGGGGTTCATTGTCAAATTTGACACTTCAAGGAAGGGTTGATGAAAACTGCCGTGTGCTGGTTTATCTATCCAGGTTTGCTTTCCTATCGGTTCTTGCATAATATTTACTGTTTAGCATATCTTTGCTTTAGTGTGTTACGTTTAATTTGATTGGGAGACGTGTTCGTCGACGTCAACGTCAACCCACAACACTGCAAGAATTGGCCGTGGCACTGCCCCAAATCGTGATTGGACGGTTGATTAGGAGCATGCCACGACAAATTGCTGAATGTCTGAGGATTGGTGGAGCAATTAATCATTATTAAGACAAAAATCAAAACGTCCATTTTCACTTTTGATGGTGCATCTCTTTGCGAGTGAAATGGGGCCGTTAGATAAGCCGCCCATATGAACTGTTTATATTCATGTGTAGGCAATTGGCCTGTTATTAACGTACACTGGTTACCTCTAATAAAAACAGCAGTGCATTTCCGCAGTTTTGTATTGTATCTGAATATCCCCTACTGTGTTAAATAAAAACTACAAGTTTGACTGACAACTCAAATATTGAAATGTATTTGTAATGGAAAGATTACAAATCTAAAATGTATACATTAATCATTTGTTAAACTGGCTTTGTGAGTTAATGATGATAACGGGTGTGTTTTATTTTTCTAGTTGAAAGGAGCAGATAGATCATCAGTTAAAGCAGAAGTAGCAACAATGGCTCAAGAGATTGGATTAGAAACCAAGCGATCCACACGTTCAATGCATTTATCTGGTGGACAGAAAAGGAAATTGTCCGTGGGAATAGCTCTTATATCTGATTCAAAGGTATGTATACTCCTCAGATTCATCTAAATCATGTCATTGAATCAACTGGCGTGGTTTTGATTCCGCGGTTGTAAGTGACAATTCCCCAGCTAGTTAATTTCACTTCCAGTTCAGTTTATTCAATCTCTATGTCCGCCTCCACCTGGGGTGACCTTGCAGACAGTTGCCTCCTAGGAGACTTGCTGAAAAGGAAGTCATGAATGAGAGGGTGAAAATGAAACAGTGAAATTTTATCATCTCCATTTTCTTAGGCAAATTTAAGGACGGGGTGGTGGTGTGGAGGGGGGGTGGGGGTCTAGTGGTCAAACACGTGTGTATGAAATCAGGGTCTGTCATTGAGTCAATGACATGAATCCAATGGTTCTTTTAAGGATGTGGGGTTGGGTGTTCTAGTGGGTTTAACGCGTGTGTGTGTGTTTCTCTCTCTCTTAATCTCTCTCTCAAAGACCATTCCTGTTTCACTGCCAGTCAATCAAAACTAGTAAATATGGCTAAAACAAGGGCCTTGATTTCCAAACATTGATTCTTTACTATAGATAGTAATACTGGATGAACCGACATCAGGAATGGATCCAGCAGCGAGAAGACAGACCTGGGACATTCTACAAAGAAATCGTGCCAATAGAACTATCATTCTAACAACTCACTTTATGGATGAAGCAGATTTACTCGGAGATCGAATCGCTATCATGTCGGAAGGAGAAGTTAAATGTTGTGGTAGTTCTCACTTCCTTAAAAAATTACATGGTAAGATTTTCAAACTGCAGATCTGATTATTTTTAACAAATCTCCGAATTTGATTCTTATTATCTCTTATTTCTGTCTCCAAGGCTCTACATGGCGACCAAATATATTTTCTGGCTAGTTAAAATTTTCACTTGAGTCGCCAGCTGGCGACTGTAAGTTTTTTTTCTCGTTTTAAAATAATTACAAAGTTTTTTTTTACAAAATTGAATTTGTTTATTCAGCACTTCGTAAAACCGGAACTTACTAGGGGAAATAACTCCAATTTAACGACAATATTTACGACATTCATATATTTTCTTACCATGTGCCGAAAATCGTTCTAACTTCTAACTTACGGCAATGTATACAAAATGTCCGACTACGCATGTTGTTGACCCATTTTTCTAACCCATACATTAAAGTTATTCCCTATATATTAATAAAATGAATAAAAAACAAAATCTTTTAAGCTCTTTCTTTAAAAAAAGGACGATTCCTCTCTGACACAGTCTTCTGACGGAAATCTAGCCGGTAGTGGCAGTAGTTCAACTACGAGTCAAGTGACCTTGTTGTTAATATTATTAAAATTAAAATTTATTTAAATCAAAACTGGTGTTCTTTTTTCTGCATTGTTTTATATTTAGCATTATGAAAAAGATTAAAAAAAACAACGCGTAATATCTAGTAGTGATTTTCGTTACAGACTACAGTTAATAGCACTGTAATTTCTGGCTACTAAAATTTTGGTGCTGGCTAGTAAATTTTTAGCATTTAGTAGCCAGTGAAGACTAAATTTTCCATGCCCATATTGACCCTTGTCTGTCTCTTATTTCTCACAGTGGCTAAGTGAGTAAGATACTGGCTCTTTTGCCAGGAGGTCAAAGGTTCGCTCCCGGTGTTGGCTAAGAAAGTTCACGATTTTCCAACAAGGTTTCCTCTTGGCAGTGGTGCAGGACGGAAGGCCAGACAAGGAGAGCTGTCTAGTCATTCGGATGGGACAAAAAAATGAACTCCGGTGTACACATTGGTAGTTGGAATATGATATAAGAGAAGGCCGTAGTGCTGCTGTCTGGGCAAAATTTTCCTCATAGCACACTGTATGGCATATGCCTGTCTTCATTAAGCCAGTCGAAGCAGAACAATAGGACATTAAACCCCATTTCATTTCATTTCTATCTTAAAAAGATTGAATTATATACCCATGATTAATCTGACGTATATTGTTGTCCGTCAGTCTGTCTTGTGAAGACTGTACACACCATGAATGCTATTTCGCCCATATATGCCGGACATGTCCTACACTATTTTCCAAACATCTGATCAGGAATATGTCCAGTCGGACATCAACATATGGTGAATAATATTCAAATTACCAAAATTATTTGACTGTACTGGGTATATAACTTTTACTCATCCGGATTATCGTTGACAATAGGCTGAATTGATTACGTAATTAAGTGATCAGCATATTTATTGTGTTATACCATCTATACACCTACCTTGATTAACTACTTAATCTGCCTTGATTGGCTGACTTAATCCCTTGTCGGACAATTCATCAATCCAATCCTGAACAGAAGTCGTTCATTGCTTCTCCTTTGCTGTACTATGTATCAATCCAATAAGAGTGATTATAAACTAATCTACGTGATTAACTCGTGGTTTCTCCATTGTCGGACATTTTAATCTCCTTGATATCAGCCAACAACATGTAGAAACTAATTAAATATCCTAATAGTATAGAACTCCCCACATCAATATATCTGTTAACCTGTCTGCGATATCACTTCGGTGGAAGCGGACGTTAAATAAAGCTATTTTACACACACACACGCAGTAGTCGACATGCTATCATTCTATTGTATTACGACAATAATTTTGTAGGAATATTACTGACATAAATTTGAATACCGTACAGGAATTAAATATGAAAATTAACGAGGTGCACCTATTTTTAATACGTACGAATTTGAATATTTTGTTGACACATGATTTTTAATTGTGGTCTGAGTCCGCCTGCTTAAATCTTGATAAGAGTTATGCCCCTTTATTTTTGGTAAAAATGTCTGACAAAAATTTTTTTGAATTAGCAACTTTGGTACACATTATAGCTGTTGTTACATTCTTTCAGGGAGTGTACCCTGTTATGTTTTAGAGTTCAATCTCTGTCAAATTTGTTAAATCTTGTCAAGGCATTACAAGGCATATAAAATCTGGTGAAACTATTGGGAAATGATTAATGTTTGCAGAAAAATTTAATCAGATAAAATGTGTTTTACAGATAATCTGTGCAGTATTAAATATGGAAATGGAAAAATCCTTTTCTAGCCACTTCACTTTTGACCCTTTCTTTTATTGAAAACTACCAATATATGACCCTTACCCTTAATAATTAAAATATTGATTTAAATTATTTAGTAAAAACCCTACAGCTGTAATTCTGTTAACTCATTATCACACAATATTTTTTTTATAGGTGCTGGCTATCATCTGGTAATTGTTAAATCGGAAACATGTAACATATTCAACGTAACACAAGTCGTTCAGAAATACATTCCATCCTCTGTGCTAGAAAGTCAGATTAGTGCTGAAGTCTCTTATCTATTACCAAATGAAGAATCGGCTAAGTTTTCTGCCTTGTTTAGAGAAATTGAAGATAGGAAGAATGAACTTGGAATCAATAGTTTTGGTACATCAGCAACTACTATGGAAGAAGTATTCTTAAAGTAAGATTGAATTGTGTGTTAGTTTCAAGCATTCATTTTCAGTGGACATTCATAAGAATATAATAAAAGATAAAATTAACCAATGGATGAATATAAACGATTATTTATGACATGGTTTGTGATCAAAATTTGACACATGAATTTTCGGTTGATGAAAAAATATGAGGTATAAGATAAGAAAACAGACAATTAATTTTGTATGCAATTGCACCAGTGTTATCTTCCATTTAATATGTGCAATCAGTTTAAAACAAGAACACTATTGTGATTTATCTGCACTGAGTCAAAGTTACTGATAATGTAAATATGATATTACAGAGTTGGAGAAGGTGTGGAGGATGAAGATGATGAACCTCAGTTAAACGGCGTTCAAAATCCGGCATTTCAGAAAGATGTGACTCAAAATGGTAGCCCAAGTACAAATGGAAATGCAACAGAAATTAATATTGATAGAGATATATTGGGTAAGGGTGATAACTTTATTTTACTGATTATGATATTTAAAGTTTAAGCCATTTTTATATTGTTGTCGCCCCAGTCCGCCCAGCTGTTTGTGGACATTTTACAGGTTACAATTTTTATCCGATTTTGACGAAGCTTGAGATATAGGTTTATATCCCAAAGCTCTTGGTTCCTTTCAGTATTCGCATTTATCAGACCGTAACTTCGTGGATTATGGCCCCTGATTGTATTAAGAATCATGTTTTTAGGTTGCGGACACTATAGAGGTCACATTTTTATCTGATTTTGATGATAATTAAAATATATGTTTATCTTCCCAAGATCTCGGTTGGTTTCGATATTAGTGCATATATGACCAAACTTCCAGGATGGCCCCTGATTGTACTACAAATCATGTTTTTAACTTGTAGATACTCTACAGGTCACAATTTTTATCCGATTTCGATAAAACTTAAAATGTATGTTCATAACCCAAAGATTTGGTTCCTTTTGATATTGACACATGTCGGACTGTAACATCCTGGATTATAGCCCCTGATTGTACAAAAAAATTGCTTTTTTAGCATATTCTCTGTCCATCTCTTACAAATGGTGGGGGGGGGTTGGGTGGCTGAATGGTTAGCAAGTGCGTGCTGTACCATAAAGTCTGTCATTGAGTCAACTGGCGTGGTTTCGAATCCCCGGTTGTACGTGGCAAGGAGTAGGGTCGCCTGTCCAACCTTGTGGGTTTTCTCCGGTTCCTCTGGTTTCCTCCCACTGCTAAAGACCCCTACGCGCAAATGAATTATTGAAATAAAATTAAACCATGTGTTAGTCCCGAAATGACCTAGTTTGTGTCGAGTGGACGTTAAACCCTATTTCTCTCTCTCTCACAAATGGTGGGTGTATCTTGCGTGTCAACGACTTGTGATTTCACTTTATGGTTCCAGAAAAATGAAGAGAACAGATGGGCACCAACAATATTTGTTCAGAACTTCTGAAGAATCTAGTACATGTTTTCATTTACGTTATATCATATTGTATTCAAATTGTTTATGATTTTATTTCAGCTTTCAATAAAGGCTTCAGACGAGTGAGTGGCTTTAAACTGGAATTATCACGATTTTATGGGATGTTTATCAAGAAGGCTATCCATACCTGGAGAAACAAAGTTGTCACGCTTGTCCAGCTACTAGTCCCAGTCTTTGCTACAGCAGCTGCACTTGCCATTGCCAATGTGCAGACGGATCCTATCCAAAAACCTTCTCTAACCCTTAACTTAGCCCCCTTTGGTGGATCTATATCAAGTTATGGTGTATCCAATGCTACAACAATGAATAACGATCTATCAGATAAATACGGAAACCTGTTTTCAGCTGCTGTAGATACAGCTCAAAACTTAACAGCAACAGAAGCACAAGATTACAATTCATATTTTGTGAGTAAAGCTGCGGCCTTAGGAACCAGAACTTATAACAGAAAAATGGTCATTGGAGCAGAGTTTTCTGATGATGGCGCTGGTAATACTGTGGCTAAAATGTGGTACAATGGACAACCATATCATTCTGCACCGATATCAGTTGCTTACATGATGAATACATTTGCTAGATATTTTTCTGGTGATGATTATGAAATTGAAACGAGAAACTATCCCTTACCAGCAGACGCTGAAAAGAGTTCCAACTCAACGTCTTTATTTTCTGGCATCTTTGGCTTTGTGATTGCCTTTTGTATCTTATTTGGAATGGCGTTTTTATCTAGCAGCTTTGTAGTTTTCTTGGTAAAAGAGAAACAGTTTGGTGCTAAACATTTGCAGAAGGTGAGTGGTGTCGGAACCATGGTTTACTGGCTGTCCAACATAACCTGGGATTTCATCAACTACTTGATTCCGTGTGTATTGATCATTGCTGTGTTTGGAATATTTGGTACGGAAGAATATCTGTCTGGAAGTAACTTGGGTTATGTCAGTTTATCCTTTCTACTTTATGGTTTAGACATCTTGCCGTTTGTGTATCTGATGCAGTATTTATTTACCACACCTGCTACTGGAATGGTCGTCCTTATAATCATCAACATATTTACAGGTACTGTTTTATTTCACAGTTCTTATTCTATTCCTCATCTAAAAACATTACTCATTTCATGCAGGGTGGGAGGTATGCCATCTATGCAATAGGCGTGTCCGATCTCCTGATCTCTCGGGGGTTGGATAGCTAGCCGAATGGTTAGCACAAGCGCGCTGTATCATAAGGTCTGTCATTGAGTCATCTGGCATGGTTTTGATCCCCGGTTGTACGTGACAAGCAGTAGGGTCACCTGTCCAAGCTTGTAGGTTTTCTCTGGGTCCTCTGGTTTCCTCCCACTGCTATTGTGTCGAGTGGACGTTAAACCCCATTACCGTTATCGAAATGTTGATGATGATCATCATAGCCATCATCATTATCGACATGATGATGATGATGACCATCATCATTATCAACATGTGGATGATGATCATCATAGCCATCATCATCATCTTTATTGACATGTTGATGATGTTCATCATAGCCATCAATATTATCGACATGATAATGATCATTATCATAGCCATCATCATTATCAACATGTGGATGATGATTATCATTGCTATCATCATCATCGACATGATGATCATCATAGCCATCATCATCATCTTCAGTTTATGTAAAATAAATACCCTCAATACCTTTTATAAACCAATCATAATACAATGCTTAATGCATGATGTTGACTCGGCTACATAAAAACAATTGTGGTTGTTTGGGGATAAGGGTTATTTTTGTCAAGTCAAGTTTAATTTCTACCCATACAGAAAATAAAATGTTATAATAATTATTATCTTTCATATTTACAGGTTTAGTTTCATTAATGGCTGTGTTTATTCTGGGTATGCCTGGTCTTGGTACAACAGATGTAGCTGATGCATTAGATTGGATTTTTTCGATTGTATTCCCTCAGTTCAATCTGGGTAAATGTATAATGAATATTTATACCAACTATAATATATTAGATGCATGTGGTCAACTTGGTTATCCAGATATATGTAGTACAAAGCCAGAGTTTCAATGTTGTTTGGGTAAGTATATGTATAACATTTCTTTTTTCTTGAGTTACTTCCCTTATTGTTAGTTTATTTTTCATTTTGAGAGAGAGTTCAGTCCTATTTCAACCTTCTGATTCAACGCGCATGCATTAACAATTCGTCCACCCAACCCCCCCTTTTTATATGCATGTAGTCATATATTGTTGTCGCCACAGTCCATCGGCTACAATTGCTTGTGGATGCTCTAGAGGCTAAAGTTAATATTTCATTGACTTTAAATTTATACACAGTGTTTAAGGTCATGAGAAGATTTCCAACGATTTCCGATAATTACTGACAGAGTTATGGTCCTTGATCACTTTGAAAAATCTTGTTGGCCCTCTACAGGCTAAAGTTAATTTCCGATTGACTTTAGATTTATACACAGTGCTTAAGGTCATGAGACAAAGAATCCTATTGAAAAATGTTTTGGACGCTCTAGAGGCTAAAGTTAATTTCCGATTGACTTTAAATTTATACACAGTGTTTAAGGTCATGAGATGAAGAATCCTATTGATTTTCCGATTAGTACTGCCAGAGTAATATGGCCCGTGTTCACCTTTAAAAATCTTTTGGATGCTTTAGAGACCATAGTTATCATCTGATTGATTTTATATTTATACACTGTGTGTATGCTTGCATATAATGGTTTCGATTGACTTTAGATTGATACACAGAGTTTAAGGTCTTGAGACGAACAAGTATATCAATTTTCAATGATAGCTAAATCCATGATATCAAATGTTTTGTATACTAAATGTTAGCATGAGCCAAACAAATTCTAATGATTTTCTGATAATTACTTAATGACTTGTTACTCTTAATCAGATTTAAGTCTATTATAAATGTTTCATTACTTCCAAAAATAAAAATATTTTACAACTCTTGTTGACTGCCCAGACGATTTAGCTGCTGTGACTGTATGTTTCATTGCCTGGCAACCTATCTTTCATTTTGAGTGAAGTCTGTATCAGTACAAGCTCGAGTCGAGTGGCGTAGTTTTGATTCCCCGCTTGTACGTGACAACCTCTAGGAGTTTCTCTGGTCTTTCGTGCAAGCGAATTATAGAAATAAATGTGAACCTTATGTTAGTCTCGAATGACCTAGTTTGTGTTGAGTGGATGTTAAATCTCCCCCCTCTCTCTCTCTCTCTCTCTCTCTCTCTCTCTGACATTTGGAAATCGAAATATGGGTAAGCTGTATAGGCAAAATTGCACTCAATGCCCATGGTACGTATGCCCATGGTCTGTATGTATGTATGTATGTATGTATGCCAGTATAAGATAACTGAGTAGGTGCAGAAGCAGAAATGAAGGATGTCGCCCTCATCCCCTTTCTGAATGTTATTTATTTCTGCCATTTATTTTGATTCCTGATTTTGTTTTACAGCTAATTATGTAACGGAAGATTATTTGTCAATTGAAGTACCTGGTATCGGACGCTATCTTTTATTAATGGTTGTCCAGGCAGTCGTCTTTTTTGGTTTCACTCTTTTGATAGAGGCCCAGATTATGCAGAAACTTTGGTACAAGATCCGACCTGTATCTAAAGATGTCGCACCTGTCACTTATCACCAATCTAATGGCAGTCTGAGGCTAATGGAGGATGATGATGTCTCGAATGAAAAGGCGCGCTTAGCTAATATGTCTATGGATAGCGCTAAAGATTCCTTTATATTGAAAGACTTGTTCAAGAGATACGGAACATTTGTAGCCGTTGATCACATCAGCGTGGGTATTGCAGAACGAGAATGTTTTGGATTATTAGGTCAGAATGGAGCTGGTAAAACAACCACGTTTAAAATGTTGACAGGTGATGTGATGTTGACAGATGGAAATGCTTATTTAGAATCTAATGATATTAAATCTGATATACAGAAGGTAAGTTTATTTTTAAACTCGTCCAATACCAAAAGAAACCAAAAGAGAAATTAGTACAAGAGAAAAATAAATGAGTAAAATTAGATGTACTAGCTATATTGAGTACAGTGTTGGCTCCATTAACCAGGAGGTCCGATCCCGGTGTCCGCGAGAAAGTTCTTCTGTATTTTCCAGTCTCGTTTCCCCTTTGTTTGTGGTGCCAGACAGATCACCTGACAAAGAAAAGCTCCAGGCGTTCGGATGGAACGAAAAATCAAGGAGCTTAATTGAGTGCCCTTTAGGGAAGATATTATTCGGATGGAACAAAAAATTAAGGAGCTTAATTAAGTGCCCTTTAGGGAAGATCTTGTAACCGCTTAGAAATAAAATGGTATCTTCTAAATTTACAGGTTCAGGAAAATATGGGATATTGTCCTCAGTTTGATGCTTTAATAGATCAGATGACAGGAAGAGAGACATTATATATGTACGGTAGATTGAGGGGTGTGCCAGAAGATCATCTCAAGGGTGTGGTCAATAGTTTGATTGACATTCTGATGTTGAGGAAACATGCTGATAAAAAAACTCAAGTCTACAGGTATTATAAATATCTACGTCTGTGTCTGACTAATTGCATCAAAATGTCACAGATATATATATTATTGATAAATAAAATACAGATGTGACATCATTCTTTGATGTTGGCATACCATTATTTCAAATAATGGTAAGGGCAACAAGCAAATCATACATTGTTTTATGCCAGATGAAATGTTGGACTCATTTTATATGACAATTTCATTGCAGTGCATGTACAAGTTAGTGTCTGTATTTTAAGATGTCTAGCATCCTTATTATGCAGAATCAATATATTACTTAATGTCTCGCTCTTGACCACACGAGGAGGTTTGGATGGCCGAATGGTTAAGCGAATTATTGAAATAAATTTGAACCATATATGTTAGTCCCGAAAAGACCTAGTTTGTTTCAAGTGGACATTAAAGACATTTCTCTTAGGGGTCTCTAGCATTGGCAGGAAACTTGAGGACCCGAAGAAAACCCATGAGGTTGGAAAGGCGACCCTACTCCTTGACACGTACAACCGGGGAATTGAAACCACGTCAGTTGAATCAATGACAGACATTATGATACAGCGCGCACGTGCTAACAATTCGGCCATCAAACCCGCCCATGCTGACGCAGAAAGTAGACATATTTAATAAAGGGTCTTCTAACCCGAAACACTATGAAGATCAATAATATAACCAGCTGGGTTTTTTTTAACTATTTTGTGCTTTGATTTTTAAATATCTATTAATATCTATAATATTATATATATGCTTTTGTTATTTGCAGTGGCGGTAACAAACGTAAATTGAGTGTTGCTATAGCTCTGATTGGTGATCCAGGTTTTATTCTGTTGGATGAACCGTCAAGTGGAGTTGATCCGAGAGCCAGACGCCAGCTGTGGAATGTTTTATCTAAGGTTCGAGACAGCGGCAAAACACTGATTTTAACGTCACACAGGTATGTGGAAATAATTTTTATACGCCCACCTTTTGAATGCTCTAGTGACAAAAGTTGTCATCCGATTAGCATGATTGTTTTATGCATCATTGAAATAAGTGAAATGAAGAAGCCTATTGAATTTCAGCAATTTCCGTCTATTACTTTTAAATCAGTTTTGAAATAAAGGGAAGTTATAAAGGCATGTTTTTAGTTTCTAGAAAGTGTATTAATGTGAATTGATTTGAATAAAAAATGAAGTTAAATATAAACATAAAATTTTCTGTTTTTTAAAGACTTGTAGTATTGATATAATTTAATGTGTTTATTTGGTTTTATAGTATGGAAGAATGTGATGCCCTTTGTACTCGAGTGGCCATCATGGTTAATGGTGTATTCAAGTGTCTGGGTAGTCCACAACATCTAAAGAATAAGTTCGGACAAGGTTACACTTTGATCTGTCGCATGAAAACGGGAGAAGAAGATGGTGAAACATATCCAATATATCCTCTAGTGGAATTCATCAAACAGCAATTTCCTTCTACAATCGTATTTGATGATCACCAAGGTTACGCTCATTTCCAGATTCCAGATAAAAGCATTCCTCTTGCAGGAATTTTTGAAGTGATGGAAAAATCGAAAGAAGAGTATTTTGTTGAAGATTACTCCGTTCACCAAACAACTCTTGAACAAGTATTCTTAACATTTACAGGAAAGCAGATAGCGCCACGAGAAACCAAGGCAGGGCTTTGTCAAGGATTTTCATGTTGTTAGAATGTGTATTGTGGTCATGTGATTCCTTTGTATACTTTAGTCCCAAACAAAACTAGTGATTTATTTCTCAAACTGCTTGCTCAGATATACACATATGTTATCTGTGGGTAGACTTATCCTCAAGGGTTCTTGATTCAAAGTTATGACGAAATCAAATTAAGTGGGGTTTAACGTCCTGCTGTTCTGCACTGACTGGTCAAATGATTCCAACACAAAATCAGATTTATCAATCTAATTAAAGTACAGATCTATATTTCGTTTTATTTTTTTATACTTTTGATGGCCTACACTACATGAAGATCTGATCAGTTGTACTGGGAGGTTGCATCAGGGGTCATCCGATTGCCTTTTGACCCTATGACGTTAGACATTAATAATCAACCCGCATTGTCGTTTCTAGGGGTTTACCCACAGTTCCGTGCAAGACATGCCAAGAACTTGCTGTAACAGACTGTTTCATTGGCTAATTCCTGACATCAACTAGAACGCCTGTTATATAACAACTCTTGCAGACCCTAGTTTTGTGAAGACAAATAAAATGAAATTTTGAACTATAAAAAACTGAAACGAAATAGGATCTGTGTTTAATCAGATTGTCAAATTTCTGCACATTTTGGATGAAGAACAAATGTCAATAACCATTTTTATAGGTTGCTGTGAAGTATCATGTCTTCTATGGTCCTTAGTGTCATTGGTGGAAATACTACTTTATCATCAAAGGAAATCGAATCAACACTTGTCTAAGGTCATTTTGAAACGAGCATTAAAGAATTAGATCTGTCATCTCATCTTCACCTGATTCAGTAGGGCCATCTTGATCAAGATAGAAACAAATTATACATTGATCAAAAACTACTTAGCTGTTTCTGTACATTTACAGCACACATTGAGGAATAATCTTAAATGCCATAGGAGAAGGGAAATTTGTAATGTTCTTTCTTCTTATGACACTGTTGAATCAAAGAATCTCTGCTCCGGTTAACTATTATTGGAATCAGTTATATGCGTCCAGGATTTTTATCTGTCATAAAAGAGCCATGACTTTTATTTAACTTAAACAGCTAATGCTGCTGATCATCATTAGAAGGATTTTGAAAACTCATCTTTCACTATATTGTAATCACAATAGTTCAAAAATGATTCTATTCTTTTCAGTATTTTAAAATAACACAGGGCTGGATTTATCAATAGGCAAGTAGGTAAATCTGATGAAAAAAAAAGTGTTGAGTAAAATATTTTGATGGGCCTCTTATTGATTCAATTAAAGCAAAGCTGGGAAATATTTTTTTTCTTAATTGAATGTTAGATAATAAATTTGAGTAAATTTTAGCGGTGATTAAGCTATGAAAAGTTAGATATTGTCCCAAAAATGCAAATGATGGTCATCGACTTTAATGACTAAAGATTAAGTTTAAGTGTATACAGAACAAGAACCCAGTAGGATACTGTAATACTAATGTTTTGCATTCAGGGTTTTAATTTACTAGTTTATTTACGTGACATGTTTTTTATCTCTTAATTTTACATATTTTTTTTATTTAATATAGTTTACTTATATTGTATATTACGTAGATGTGTTCTTGTGAAGGCATCAGATTGGCTTGAGAATTTATTAATAAGATGCAGGACAAGTGCTGTTATGAGAATCATTTGCCATATTAGATTATATCTTTTGTTAGTGGGGCTTAACGTCCACTTACGCCTCTGGTGATATCCAGACAAAATTATATCTTTAAATATTTCATATTTCCATATATTATGGAAGATTAGATAAAGAGTTGGCAGTTCTCACTGTAATAGTTAAAAACTAGATAATGTAAAGGGAATATGCTGAAAATTTCAGTCAAATAGCTCCACTCTGAACCAAGACAGCAACGATTGAATATTAGGCCTAGCCTCGATCATCATTACTAAAGTCGGTACGATAAAAATATAGTCTCGATTATCCATTTTTGGATTTAATCATCAATGAGCTTTGAGCAGCAGATCACATTCAAATCCAGTGAAATTCTGACACATAAAATGTTACTGATATTTGATTATGGTCTTTCATGTTAACAAATGTCTAATTAATGATTATAATTATATTAAAATTTCAGGCCTAAAAAATGTCCTGCAATAGGCAGATTTAGCTCTTGCATAATGTATGGTTAATGAAGCCATTAACTATGACATCTTAAAATAATTGTTAAATATTGACATATATGTATATATCTAACCTGTAAAGCATAAATTTTAAATAAAATAAAAAAATGATTAAAACTATTGCCATTGGTAATGCTAAGATTTTCTTAAGGCAATTGCTAATATCCGTTACTCAAGTAACCAATAATTATTTATTTGAACATTATACTTAAAGCACAACGTTATTATTTAATGTTTTATAGTTTGTTGTATGTATGTATGTTAGATAAAATAAATTTTCACCTTGTTATTTACCTTATAAATGTAAAATTGTGTGATATTGCTATCTACCGGCAGTGTCAGATTTAGATGAAGAGGTGCCCTGGCTATTACACCGATAAGGACCCTCTCAATCTCCCATTCTCATGACTAGACGAAAATATCAGAGTGTTTTAAAAAAAAATGAATAAAGAAAGACTTATATGACATAGTCAAAAATATTACAGACCTTTACCAATAGGATTAAAATACAGATCTTTATTTCGTTTCATTTTTTTTTTTTTTTATATACTTTCGATGACCTCTACTACATGAAGATCTGACCGCATGCCAAGAACTCGCCATAACAGACCCCTTCATTGGCTAATCCCTCACATAAACCATAGCGCAAGTTATATAACAACTCTTCCAGATCATAGTAAAAACCGGTATAACAAAATTTAGAACTATAAAAAAAAAAAACGAAATAGGATCTGTGTTTTAATCAGATTGGACCTTGACTGTAGGCCTCCTATACATATTGAGGTAAATCTGACACTGTCTACTGGTAGTTATTGATGAATACTGTATGTGCCTCTTGTTAATTAGAACAAGTTAAGATATACTATGTTAATAAAAAAATTGTTTATTACTGTTAGATGTAATGGTAATTTTTACTGTTATTGTTAACACTAAGATTTCATATTTACACAGATTATGGGGCACACTGATCAGCAGTGAATATTCAATAGGTCGCTACAATCACAGATAAGGAGGACGTCAATGCGACTTAATGAGCCACAAATATTAACTTTTTTCCTGCCAAAAAATTACATTCTAAAACATTTTTTTTTTATATATTAGAAAAATAAATATAGACGTATTTGTAGGTAAAAATTATTTCCTATTTAATGTAAATGGGTATTAAAATGAGTAAAAGGCACCATTCTGCCTGAAGCAGTAATGTCTTATGTAAACAATGCACGGCCAATGGAGCCAATAACTGATGTCGGGTGACGTTACATCACATGTTGAAGGCCGTCATCTTTTACAGAGCTATTAGAAGACTTTCGTTATCCTCTGTGAAACAGATTGATGATGGGAGTCTCACATGTTGTAGCAAAACAAGGCCTTAAATATTATGATTGTTTTAGCCATGCACAACACTTACTATACTGGATCATGGTGTATATTTCTCTTTATATTTTATTAAACATGACAAAACAGCAAATTGCTGTAGTTTAGGACAAAAAGAGATAGCTATGTTTATAAAAAATAACCTGTTGTCATATGGCAATTATCGAATATGGTTTTATTGATATATTTGAACTGATTTTGTTACAGCATTATCTTCAGAGATCTCTATTTCAAGGAATCTATATATATATATACCTCCCGGAATGTATGATATATTGTTTTCCCCTCTTTATTGTACCCTTATTTAGAAATTTGGATTTGATTTTTAGCTAATTATTTAGAAATTTGGATTTAATTTTTAGCTAATATTTCCCTCCTTTCTGAAACGTTTAGTGAAATAGAAATTGAATCTAATGAGGTCAGTGTTAAGCATAATTCTTATCATGTTATACCAGGGTTATATCATGGACAACTTTCTCAATTAATATGTAAAATTGTATATCAGAGTCTCAGAGAGCAATTATGTATGTAAAGTTTGAGCAATGCAATACCAGAAGCATAATCTTAAATAACTCTTTTCTTCCCCTTTCCTAATTATTAACCACCGCATGTTCACAGGCTTCTTGTAGGATCACTCTATATATAAGCTGTAATGATGTCAAACAAACTGTGACATGTAATTCCAAAATCGGCTATACGGGCTGTGCTTCAACAATAGCATCGATATACAAACATATCAAAATCATTGAGGACGGGTCAGTGTCTTAATGCATTGAAGAGTCCAGTTGAATTTTGTATTGTAAAATACTTCAACACATTGTTAAAGATGCTGCTATAATAGCTCAAATATAGATGATGGAAAATGAATATTTTGAAAATTTCATTCAAATTGATTTATTCCGAACAATGTTATGGCTACTTGAAGATATAGTGTAGATTGTTTATTATTGTAGCAACAGTACCTAACAAACGAGACTAAAGTCTTGATTATCCATTTTATCATTAAATTTTAAAATCTCATAGGTGTTCAAATCCATTTAAATCTCGGCCATCCAATGGTCTAGAGAGTTGGCATGTAAATAAAAATAAGTCAAGACAAAAGAAATACAATAGGCAGATTTAGCTCTTACATAATGCATCTTTAATGAAAGAGCATAATATGTTGTTTATGTTTTTAAATATGTCATATATATAATAATATCCATCATCTGAATAGAAGTTTGATACTCTATGTAAAATCCAGCCATTATTCTCAATATCTAAAGTGCTTTGGTATTTTATGCAAATTATTTATATACTGAAATAATTAAACCACAAGAATATTTAATTTCGAGTTATTTATAGATGTATTTTATTTAAAAGCTGGACTTTTTACAATAGAATTTTAAAGTCATTGTGGTACAAAATGTATGGTTTGGTATTTACTGGTATTCGAATTTTAACTTACCAATATAAAAAACTTAATTCCAAAATGCAAAGATTATTTTTCTATTTAATATCAACATTTTTCTGACATAAATATTGGATGTTTTTCTTTGTTTAAACGTTTAATATTGTTAAAAAATAAAATAAAAGTAGCTTTGTCTATACATGTTCTTTCTTTTTTATTTTTTTAATGGTGAAAAACATCCAAGAATTGGAAACCTCACATTCAGAGAACAAACTGTATGTTTATGTGTTCTTTGATTTTTGTTCCGTCTTCATGAGCCCAGGTTGCTGCAAAACAGTAGAATGTTAAACCCCATTTCATTTATCTTTGTCACAGGACGGAATTAAAATAAGGTTCATCTTCATCTAACATGTAATTGAATATCTGACTGACTAACATACTAATAGCAAGAAGGAGTGAATTGAATTCCCATGCCATAATTAATTTATGATATTTTATATAATACAATGAGTTGGGAATAAGTCTATAGATATAAGCCCATGGAAAACCCAGATTCAGAAACCTTGGAATTTTTAAGATATATTTCACAACTTTGGTGGGACTGGATGAACCCTGTTGAAAGTCAATAGTTGGCCATCATACATTTGATACGTGAGAGAGAGAGAGAAATGGGGTTTAAGTCCACTCGACACAAACTAGGTAATTTCGGGACTAACACACAATTCAATTTCATTTCAATAATAACTTGCACGTAGGTGTCTTTAGCTGTGGGGGGAAACCCACAAGGTTGGATCGACGAACCTACACCTTGTCATGTACAATTGGGGAATCAAAAACACTCCACTTGACTCAATGACACACCTTGTGATTTCACGAGCACATGTTAACCCCTATAACCACTCCATTTGATACATGTAATAGACTTTCTGACTGTTGGAGTTTGACGAAAGAGTAGGTGGAAATGCCGCTGTCTGGGTAAAAATTATTTCATCATCATAGCACATATGACATATTCCCCATTTGTGCAGAACTGGCGACCACGAAGCCCATTTCAATTCACAAATTACAAAACCATAGATTTAAATTAAATACTTGATCAGTTTATTATAAATTATACATGTTCATTAATGTGATATGTCTGTTAACAAATATATAGAGTTAACCATTATAAATGTGATATGTCTGTTAACTAATATATAGAATTAACCATTATAAATGTGATATGTCTGTTAACAAATATATAGAATTAACCAGTATAAATGTGATATGTTTGTTAACAAATATATAGAGTTAACCAGTATAAATGTGATATGTCTGTTAAAAAGTATATAGAGTTAACCAATATAAATGTGATATGTCTGTTAACAAATATATAGAATTAACTAGTATAAATAAATACAAATGTATTATCAATCAACACGAACAATCAGTCATATAAACAAGTAGTTGCCATGCAAGATATGCCCACATAAAGCAAGAAATGGACAGAGAACCAGATAACAAAAAGCGATTATTTGTACAATCAGGGGCCATAATCGGACATCTAGCAATATCAAAAGGAAGCAAAATCTTTGGGATATCAACAAATCTTTTAAGATTTATCTAAATCAGATATAAATTGTGCCCCTAATAGGATCCACAACCTCAATATTACATACATTTACACAATTTACGTACACGGAGCGGCCATTTTGTAGGACATGTTCGTTCCGATTTTCATGAAATTTCAACTCAACCATCATTAGCGTATAACAGTGATCTGTTTCAAAGATTTTTAAAATTGGATAAAAATTGTGACCTCAAGGGCCATGATCATGAAGTTATGATCTGATACACACCAATATCTAAATGGACCAAGAACTTTTGGAGATAAACCTATATTTCAAATTTTTCTTTTCAAAAGCAGATAAAAACTGTGACCTGTGGAGTGTCCAAAAAAACAAATTGTGAACGAACGGACAGGGGCAACAACAACATACGTCTACATAAATACAGTTCATAAATGTACAAGTGATCCAGTGGCTTTGAGCTTGGAACAGTGACATATTTACCATATTTCGTTTCATGGTGCTTCCTTGTTACAGCTAAGAAAATTGTGATTTATTCTATTGCTTAATTTTTTCATCAAATCTTTATTCTAGATATAAACCATTGATTTAAAGTTGTATTTGGTGAATATTTACAACTATTTCTAATTATTATATGACCTACCAAGTATGTACAGTATTGTATATTACACTGGCCTATCTTTTTACTAAACAATATTTTTATTCAGGTTCTCTGAATGGAATTGGGGAACAGGCTTAGCCGGCGTAAAACCCCTCTCCCAATCATACCTAAACCTAATAGTCTGACCACCAGTCACCAATCCTGGACTAATGTTCCTCTTGTACTTGTCAGTCCCAAACACTTTTTCGTAAAGGGTTCCCTTCCTACATAGGGTAAAACTGTCATGGTTAATTATAAAGGCCATGGGCAGTATAATGTACTGAGCTGTATCAAGCTGTGACACCAGTATTAAAGTGAACTATCAACATTGCAGCAGATTTAATAAAATTATAAATTACTGTATACGATATTAAAGTCAAAATGTCCAGTACAGCCATCAATAAGGTCCTAACCAGATGGACATGATACCACCATGACCATCGCGCATAAAAACATATCGGCCTTGTTGACCAAGTCTACTATATCGTTGCGTAGTTTTAGTATCTCCTGATAAATATAATGTAAACATATCACGCGGTCCTGGTCCTAGGAATGGTAAAACACCCAATAAAACTCCATCAAAGTTATAATGAAACACCTGTTCACGATAATGATCACTAATATTATAATGCTGTGTTGTTGAAATGAGAAATCCAACTGAAATTAAATAAAAATTTCAATTCAAACATAAAACAATATTGTTATTTTGTTTTATATTCACAAATATTCCAGTCAATTTCAGACTTACATAGTACAAGGTTTTGAATTGACATTGTTCATGTCATAAGCACGTTTTTTTCTTGATATTGATTACTTCAAGGGCAAACTACAATTTGTTGGGAATGTAAGTTATATAGATTATTTAGGCAATGAGATAAGAACTTACGTTGTTTATTAATATAACAATATTCTATTGGTCGACCAGCTACTTCAACACAAAATCTTAAATCTACTTCAGTTTTACTGAAATATGAATATATGCCAGAATTAAATATTATCTGTTACAAATTTCTCAATGAAAATAAATTTACAGCTCAAATTAATGTGGTTTGGTTCAAGGCCTAGATATCAACCCTTTTCAGGTCTAAGAAAGATGGTTTATCTCATGGACCTCATAGATTAACTGAATATTAAGACTATTTTTTATGATTTGGTTCAAGACATGGTCATCAATTTTTAAAAGAAGTATTCAAGGTCTCCACTACTGACTAATTATTGTGGTTTGATTCAAGCTTGCTCATCAATCTTTATCATACTGGTTTTAGCTCACTTGTTTTACTTACTTGTTTTCATTTATTCTAAATATAAGAAGATGACAATCAACAGCAACAACTATCTCAGTATAAGAATTACCATATTCATCTGATCGTTGTTTATCACTAATTATCTTCACAGCTTTAAACACACCTTGTATACGACCATCTTTAACCTCTAACGATGAACTGAAATACCAACATTTATAAATTTAATGAGTCAATAAAACTGGTAAATTTTGGAATGTAGGACCGTTGTGCTCACAAAAAAACATTTTGGATAAAGGCTTGTTGTGCTCACATGAAAATTTGGGATAAAGGCATGTAATGTTCAGACAGAAATTTGAGATTGTGCACACAAGTCAATACAACATGTTAATTTTGGAATGTTTCACACAAATAATCGGGATGTAGGCGTGTTATGCCACCACAAAAATTTGGGATGTAGGCTTGTTATGCGGATGCAAAAATTTGGGATGTAGGCTTATTGTACCGACACAACAATTTGGGATAAAGGCTGTGCTCTCACGAAAAATTGGACTTTCCCATATGAATAATATTTACTGGATTATCCGAACTCACTACTAGCAACACAATGACAAGACTGTGTTGACTATATAAAAAAAAAAAGTATTTTTCTTGGATGCATTTTGGACGGCAGCCCTTTATCCAAATATAGATATGCAGCTTATTACCTTGTGTATGTAAGGTTTATACATATATGAAATGAAATGAAATGGGGTTTAACGTCCTACTGTTCTGCTCCTATACTGGGCTAATGAAGACGGGCATACGCCATACAGTGTGCTATGAGGGAATTTTGCTCGGGCAGTGGCACTATCGCCTACTCTTATATCGAATTCCAACTGCTGAGGGATCTTTAACATGCATTCCAATGTATTCACCGGACCTCGGTTGTTCATATCATCCGAAGTACTAGACAGCTGTCCTTGTCAGGCCCTCCATTCTGCACCACTGACAAGGGGGAACCATGCCAGAAAATCCAGGTTTATGCAGCTTACCTTTTGTATGTAAGATTTATACAGCTTACCTTGTGTATGTTGGGGTTAGAGATATACAGCTTACCTTGTGTATGTAAGATTTATACAGCTTACCTTGTGTATATAAGGTTTAGAAATATACAGCTTACCTTGTGTATGTAAGGTTCAGAGATATACAGCTTACCTTGTGTATGTAAGATTTATACAGCTTACCTTGTGTATGTAAGATTTATACAGCTTACCTTGTGTATGTAAGGTTTAGAAATATACAGCTTACCTTGGGTATGTAAGGTTTAGAGATATACTGCTTACCTTGAGAATGTAACCTTGACAGGTATAGGTGTAAGACAATCATCTGTGTCTAGTATTATAATCTCTGTTTCTAAATGTAATAATAATCTGTCAGCCATGATGTGTAAACCATTTATTTTACTATATTCTCTACTCGAACTTTCTGCAATTTCATAATTATCTTCACTATCTGGGCACAGATGACATCTTTTTACTCTGAAAAAATGAAGTTATAATACTGATATACAATAACTTTATTGTCTTTTAAAGGAAATTACATGAAATGGGGGTCTAACAATGTTCTACTTTTATGAACCGACTGGGCTTATGAAGACGGACATATGCCATGCAGCGTGTTCAATGGCAATTTTGTCCAGACTTGAGGCTGATGTCCCTCACCAAATTGAGACTCTCGCTCAACTGGAATAAAGTTATCATGTCCCAAAACAATGTTCTACTTTTATGCACCGACTGGGCTTATGAAGACGGACATATGCCATGCAGCGTGTTCAATGGTAATTTTGTCCAGACTTGAGGCTGATGTCCCTCACCAAATTGAGACTCTCGCTCAACTGGAATAAAGTTATCATGTCCCAAAACACATTGACGCTGAAAATGTTCATTATTGAACCCAGTCACTCAATTAGAATAAAAGTTTTCAAGCTCCATATTCTCGACCAATCAAATTGCTTATCACTCAGCTTCAGAGCCGAAAATGCTCATTATTGAACGCAGTCATGGCATCGATGTAATGAAACTATAAATCGAATTTCATCACTCTGACTTAATTAGAAGTAAAGTTACTGTGTCTAAAAGCATTGACCAATCAAATTGTATATCTCTGCTTAGCCTAAGCAGACAATACTCATCATTGAACTCAATCAAGGTACTCACATAATAAACACCTACACCAAGTTTGAACATTAGAAGCAGAGTTATTGTGTCCCAAAAAGTGTGACGGATGGACAGATTCATTTCTTCGAAAAAAGGGGGGGACAATCGTTATTACTATGCACAAGTTACCGAGTAAAACATTGGGACCAGAGAAATTATAGTTAACTTACGTATTTTGATGGCTCTCATAACCAAACAGGCTGGAACCTATTACTAAGTCTGTCAATACCATTCCAGATACATTGTTAACAGTAGTACAGTTTTGTGTAGTAAGAAGTTCTCCACCCTGACCATAGAAATAAACTGACCTACAATATAATTCCATAGAAAGTTGATGGGGATGCTCGATTGAAGATATTTTGGGGATTGAGAGAAGTCAATTCTGGAAAGTTCAATCAGCTATCCCGAAAATGAATACTGGGAGATAATTCTACGATAAATGATCTAAAAAATTCTGAGCTGAGATCCTAAGGTATACGAAGCACAATCCTACAGACGTTAAAATTCCACCTAGAACTATTGTCCATTATTTGATTCATCAGCTTTACTGTTAGCTTTCTTAAAATCATGAAATGGGGTTCCTCTTGATGTCAATTTAAACAGGCATTATTCAAGAGTTAAATCTTTAGGCCATAAATGCTACATAAATTATTAATTAGACATTTATTACATGACAAGATCATAATCAACTCTCAATACCATCAGATGGCTCAGATTTTGAGTATATTACAGTCTGATACATGCCAAGATCTTTGGGTTACAAGCATGCATTTCAAGTTTCATCAAAATTGGTTCAAAATTGTGACCTAGAGGGACCACAGGCTAAAAACGTGATTTTTCGTACAATCAGGGGCCATAATCCATGAAGTTTCGATCCAATACATGCCAATATCGACAGCAACCAAGATCTTTAGGTGATAAACCTGTATTTCAAGTTTCATCAAAATAGGATAAAAATTGTGACCTCTAGGGTGGACACAAACAAATTGTGTTTTCAGACAGATAGGGCCGACGACAATATACGTCCACATGAAAATGTGGGCATATAAAAATTGATTTTTGTACTTTTAAGGGCCATAATCCAGGAAATTATGGTCTGAGTCTGATATGTCCGAATATTGAAAGGAAGTAAGTTCTTTTGGGTATAAACATATATTTTAAGTTCCACCAAAATCGAACAAAACTTGTGACTTCTAAAGGGTCCGCAGCCTTGGTATTACATAAATTTACACTATTTGAGTACAAGGAGCAGCCATTTTGTCGGGCAGTTTTGGTCTGATTTTCACGAAATTCAAACTCAACCATCATCAGGGGGTAACAATGATATATTTATACCACTTTCAAAATCAGATAAAATTTGTGACCTATAGAGGGTCCACAAGCTAAAATGACGATTTTTTGGGTACAATCAGGGACCATAATCCAGAAGTTATGGTCAGATATACGTGAATATCAAAAGGAACCGAGATTTTTGGGTTATTAACATACATTTTAAGTTTTGACTTGTAGAGTGTCAACAAACAAATTATGGATGGAAGGACTCGGGCAAGGACAATATACGTCTACATGAAAAGTGGGCGTATAATAAAAACGAATAAAAAAACTGAAAAGTTATCTGCTTAGATAAAATATGTTTACATAGAAACACAAAAATTGGTTATCTAGGAATTTTTGGGTGCACAAATTTTCATAATAATTTGGATATGTGATCCAGAAAAATAATCACATTCGAAAAAACAGGTCAAATTTGCTGCTATGAAAACACAAAATTCTACTTAGCAAAAGGCATAATTAATATAACAGGATGAGGTTTGTACACAGTAAAGATATCTTCAATGGTTTATGTTCTGTCCGGGACTGTACAGCGCAGTGGGCGTTTACATCTATCCCCCGAATTCATTGATTTGATCTGAAGTTTGTTTGTTGTTTGTGGTGTCTTAATATTGTGTCCTGTCTGTATTTGTTTGTGGGTGGTGCAGTCCCCCTGCACTTACTATAAACTTTGAGATAATGGACCTTGTATCAAAAGGTATTAATGAGCTACAAAACGGCCAAGCAACAAATTTGCTCTCAGGAAACTTACCTCGAAGATGTTACTTTAGGAATACTCTCATCATGAACAATCACCCATAAGATGTCTGTTCTTGGTACCACATGATTAATAGACTCTGTCATCATGTACGGTGGCCTATAACTCTTATCAAACTCAAACTTGGGATGAAGAAAAGATTCTTTACTTGAACAATCAATAAACTGAAAGAAATTGATCATCATCAATTAATACAGATACGATGGGCCAGCAATTAATATAGATGGGATGGGTCAACAATAAATATAGATAGGATGGGCCAACGGTCAACAATTAATATAGATAGGATGGACCAACGGTCAACAATTAATATAGATAGGATGGGCCAATGGTCAACAATTAATATAGATAGGATATGCCAACAATTAATATAGATGGGATGGGCCAACAATTAATATAGGTAGGATAGGCCAACAATTAATATAGATGGGTCAACAATTAATATATATAGATGGGATGGGTCAACAATTAATAAAGATAGGATGGGCCAACAATCAATATAGATAGGATGGGCCAACAATCAATAGAGATAGGATGGGTCAACAATTAATATAGATAGGATGGGTCAAGAATTTATATAGGTGAGATGGGCCAACAATTAATACAGGTGGGATGGGCCAACAATTAATATACATGGGATGAGCCAACAATTAATATAGATAGGATGGGTCAACAATTTATATAGATAGGATAACAATTAATATAGATAGGATGGGCCAACAATTAATATAGATAGGATGGGCCAACAATTAATATAGATAGGATGGGTCAACAATTTATATACGTGGGATGGGCCAACAATTAAAATAGGAGGGATGGGCCAACAATTAAAATAAATAGGATGGGCCAACTCCCATCCTAACAATTTTAACAAGATATAGAGAATAGGATTGGAAATGAAATGGGTTTTAACATCTTACTTTTTTTCACTGATTGGGGTAATGAAGCCATGCATACAGTATGCAGCGGGCTATGAGGGAAAGTTTGCCCGGGCAAGGGCTACGGATTACTATTATTTAAATTCCAAATGTTAAACATACATTATGCAAGAGCTAAATCTTTCTTTAGGCCTGAAATGTTATCTAAACTATTAATTAGACATAAATTAACCTATCCAGACCATAATCAACGCTAGATGGCATCGCTAGCCTGCGATCTTAAGTAGATTATGAGCCGATTTACTGCATAACTTTCCTTCACGATTTAACGATTAAAGGGATAATCGAGATTATACTGTTTATCGTACTGACATTATAAGATCAGATAAGAGTGATGTGATACAACACACAGTTTTAAAACTAATCCAAAAAGTTATGGTCTGAAATGCGCAAATATCAAAAGGGACAGATCTTTGGGATATAAAGATATATTTAAACGTTTTTTAAAATCAGATAAAAGATTGTGACCTCTAGAGAATCCACAAGCTAAAAATACAATTTTTCGTACAATCAGGGACCATAAATCAGGAAGTTACGATCCGATATGTGCTAATATCGAAAGTTTCATCCAAGTTTCATCAAAATCAGATTAAAATTGTGACCTCTAGAGGCTACACCATTAGCGTACACTATTAGCGCATAAAAGGGCCGCCATGTTGGCCGGCAGTTTTGGTCCGATTTTCATGAAATTCAAACTTATCATGTGTAACAGTGATATATTCGAACATATATTTTTAAATCGGATAATAATTGTGACATCTAGAGGGACCACAAGCTAAAATCATGATTTTCAGGGGCCATAATTCAGGAAGTTACGATCCGATATGTGCGAATTTTGAAAGCAACCAAGATCTTTGGTTTTAAAACCTCAATTCAAGTTTCATCAAAATCGGATTAAAATTGGTCCACAACCTTAATATACCTGCCCCGGAGTTCACAAAGCATTCTCAGACTTAAGTTAAGAATTTACTCAACTTTCAATCACAGTTTATGAGAAATATCTTTGCTCCAGAAACACAAAACTTTGCACATAGTTTCTTATTAATGTATTTGATACATTAAAACAACAAAAGTTTTATAAAGGGCTATATTTTAGTTAAAATAAGGTGAACAATTTTGAGTAAATTCTTAACTTAAGTCTGAGAATGCTTTGTGAACTTGGGGCCAGATGTTTACACTATTTGCATACGAGGGGCGTCCATCTTGTCTGGCAGTTTTGGTCCAATTTTCATGAAATTCGAACTTAAAATTCAGTATGGTGTAACGGTGATATATTCGAACGTTTTTTTAAATCGGATAATAATTGTGACCTCTAGAGGGACCACAAGCTAAAAACGCGATTTTTCAAACAACCAGGGGCCATAATTCAGAAAGTTACGATCCAATATGCACAAATATCTAAAAGAACCAAGATCTTTGTGTTACAATCATGAATTTCAAGTTTCATCAAAATTGGTTCAAAATTGTGACCTCTAGAGGGACCACAGGCTAAAAAATTTTAATACAATCAGGGGCCATAATCCATGCAGTTTTGATCCGATACATGCCAAAATCGGATAAGAATTGTGACCTGTAGAGTGTCCACAAACAATATACGTCCATATGAAAATGTGGGGGTATAAAAATAACGAGATGCACCTACTTCAGAACACAATATGCTACATAACATAAAACTATTTGTAGTTTTAATCTATTAAAGGGAATGAAAGCTCCCCATACAAAAATATAAACATTAGTTGTATACTGGTTGAAAGTATGGCCTTTAGAGATCGTTCAATGAAATTTTACTGATTTGCTATTCAATCAAGAGGCACTTCTAATCAATTTTCAGATTGATTAGCACTTTTTTTTAAACATCTAATCAATTTTTTTTCTTATTACATACACTGGCAGCCATATTCAAAGAATTCTGTGTGCGAATGACTAGGACTTTCACGACGTACGAATGTTATATGGTACAGAGTTCTCAGTAAAAGTTCTTTTTGGTGCTGGTGGGCATTTAAGAGGGTCTGACAAGCTTATGTCTATGTTTTTGAATATCTATTTAAAACTTACCATGCCTCGAACTCCATAATTAGAAACTGTAGTAAGCTGAACTCGAATATATAGAGTATGACCATATCTAACATAATCTATAATTCGATTAGGGAAAGGTCTCAGTTCCGCATGTTCTCTTTTCTTGATAACTCTTTCAGTTTTCTTTTTAATATTTTTATGGGTCTTCTCTATATGTACTTTATTACTTACACGACCTTGAATAATCTAGAAATTAAATACAATTTTGTTCACAAAAAGAACACTGATCAGGTGTACATTCAATCTATAGCATATTCTAAGCTCTAAACAACCTGCCTTAAGTGGGCTGAATCTGTTCGTTTCACACATAGAGCAGAAGTCTGTCAAATCAATCAGAAACTTAAAATCTTTTCATATAGTCAATATTTAGTTTCCATTTGTCCCCTACTGCCAAATAAATTGAATCTTAAAAATTCATACACAGTTTGTTTTCCATTGCGGTAAATTAATATTTTCTTTCTGGCCAGGAGTAATCTTACATGGATCCCCTGGCTGAAAATGTCATAGAGGTCCTTGCATCCACAGTGAAAAGGAGACATACTCTGCTCACTGTTTGTCACATACACACAAATGCTATTGGTATGTTAGTATAGATATTTATTTGACACAAACATAAACAATAAAAGAAATGGAATGCGGTTTAACGTCTTATTGTTCTGCTACGACTGGGCTAATAAAGACAGGCATATGCCATACAATTTTGCCTGGACAGCAGCACTACAGCCTACTCATATATCAAATTCCAACTGTCAAGGGATCTTATATGTGCACACCGATGTGTACATGGGACCTTGCCTTGGTTTTTGTCCCATCTGAACAACTACATTTTATCCATTGCCAAGCCCTGGGTCCTGCACCACTAAAAAGGAGGAACCATGTCGGAAACTCCCGATGAACTTTCTCGTCCAACACAGGGATCGAATACAGGACCTCCAGGTTAGCGAGCCAATGTCAATCCAACTGAGCCACCGTGCTACAAACTTATACAACATAGGGTTATAAATAAAATTATAATTTTATTAATTAAATGCTTTATATTAAATTACTGAAGTCTGTGAATGGTCCAATTCAATTTCCACTGTGGTCTGTAAGTATAATTTTAATCAAGATAGGGTAAACTTTACCGTGACATATAGACATATTTATCTACGGTACAAATTTTTTTTAAAAACTAATATGGAGACCCTTTTAATATTGGGGAAATTTGCTGCAGTCCAGTCAGACGCCTTACCCTCTGCTTACTCTGGCTAAACCTAATGTTTGTGCATGACCCTTCCCCACCCCTATGGGACTGACAATTTTATTTGAAAAAATCTGAATAAGTGTTAGATTTAATAATATTAAACTACCGGTAAACCAACCATATTGAAGTGTCTAGAATAAAAAAAATGGCTATGATTAATACTAACCTCCATATCAAACATGGCATCTTTTTGATAATGATAGTCTAGAGCATTCTTCATTTCTTTAGCCCATCCGTCACTTCCATATACACCAGCATCATTGTCTGTCCTTTGGTGATGATGTCTTACAGCTTCTATCATCTTTAGTATAGCCTGAAACATATCATTATACTTAAAACCATGTTATATTCTCTATTTTATTATACTTAAAACCATGTTTTTTTCTCTATGTTATTGTACCTAAAACCATGTTATATTCTCTATATTATCATACTTTAAAACCCTGTTTTTTTCTCTATGTTATTATACCTAAAACCATACTATATTCTCTATATTATTATACTTTAAAACCATGTTATATTCTCTATATTATTATACTTAAAACCATGTTATATTCTCTATATTATTATACTTAAAACCATGTTATATTCTCTATATTATCATACTTTACAACCATGTTATATTCTCTATATTATTATACTTAAAGCCATGTTAAATTCTCTATATTATTATACTTAAAGCCATGTTAAATTCTCTATATTATTATACATAAAACTATTATTATACTTAAAGCCATGTTATATTCTCTATATTATTATACTTAAAACCATGTTATTTTCTCTATATTATTATACTTAAAACTATTATTATACTTAAAACCATGTTATGTTCTCTATATTATTATACTTAAAACCATGTTATATTCTCTATATTATTATACTTAAAGCCATGTTAAATTCTCTATATTATTATACATAAAACTATGTTATATTCTCTATATTATTATACTTAAAACTAAATCCATGTTAAATTCTCTATATTATTACACATAAAACCATGTTATATTCTTTAGTGTTTTTAACCCTTTAGCACTAGCACTATAACTTAGGTATCATTTAGTTAAACTGTCTTAGCACTAGCGGTGTTGAGTAATTAACAGACTAATTACTCAGCACTCAGCACCTCTTGTGAAAGTAAATCCAACACTCATTATTTAATCTAAATAGACCATTTTGAACTATTTGACAGTAAGAACTCAATATATTACAATGATTCTCAACAAATTTGACCACTTTGCCTATAGTGGTTTGAAACTAAACACACCTTCTTTGTTGAATTTTTCATTTACCCAATAAAACTACAAATGTCTGCTGTCAGCGAAAACCAAAATAAATAAAATGAAACATGTTTCAATGTCCTAACTGCTGCGACTGGGGTAATGAAGAAGGGCATATGTCATCCAGTGTAGTATGAGGGAAATTTTGCACAGACAACTGCTCTGGCCTACTTTTATATCGAATTCCCACTGCTAACCGATAGGTTAGCGAGCCAACGTCTTACTCACTGAGCTACCATGGCTCCAAAAAGACGAAAATAGTTACATAGTTTGATTAGGTAAGTTTATGTTGTCATAAATCTAATTTACAGAGTTACTGGATAAATATATTAAAGTACCATAAGATTGTACCTCTTTCCAGCCTTTTTTAATCATTCTTAACAGATTAATCCTTGCTGTTTCTCCTTCGTTGCCAGTCCAATATAAATATAACATTCCTGAAGGATTACCTATACAATTTGCTCCATAACCAACATTCAACATATGGACTGTATTACCCTCAAAATTATATATCTCTGTCATTGTTGGATTATATAAAGCATCTGAAATAATTTAAATATATTAACAATTTATAGTTAGAAAACATGCAGAACTCGTAGAATAAATGAAATGGAATGGAGTGTAACATCCTACTGTTCTGCTCCAACAGGACTAATGAAGACAGGCATATGACATACAGTGTGCTATGAGCAAAACCCTGCCCTGACAGCAGCACTACGACCTACTCTCATATCAAATTCAAGCTATTAAGGGTTTTCTAACGTGCCATCCCAACGACTATTCATTGTCATTTGCCTATAGAATAAATATTTCTTCTTAATTTGTTACAATGTAAACTGAGAGAAGCCACCACATTTCTAATTTTGATCTTTAATAGCTAGAGAATTAATAAAACTCTTCTTTAAACAACAATTATTTCAAAAATAGGATAAATACTAACTAATTTGAATTATTTTATTATTTTTTTGTAATACAACAAATATAGATAATTCGGTTTGAGAAAGAAATGAATGAAACAAATCACAGCGGCTTAATCCAGACTTCAAAGAGAACAGATACAAGAGTTTAAACTTCAGGCAGTGTAAACCAACGAAATATTCTAATCTGCCGTCTCCTTGATAGGATTTAATGTGTCCCTCGGATACAAACTAAACTAGGTCATTTTGGGACTAACATGTAGGTCAATTGTTTTTCGATAATTTGATTGCATGTGGGGGTCTCCAGGTGTGGGATAAAATATGAGACCCTTGAAAAAAAACACAAGGTTGGACAGACAAGCCTATTCCTTGTCACATGAAACCACTTAACTCAATGACAGAACTTATGATCTAAAGTGCATGCTTTAGAGCCCCCCCCCCCACTAATGGATAAAAACTTACTAGAACATTTCTCCATTAAATCTTCGTAATACAATGCATTACTGTCAGTTGTTACTGGTGTAAAAATCTGTAGTCTACAAATATCAGTATATTATTTTACTAAATAGATCTGAAGGCTGCCGCGATACCCCGCGGATGGCTATATTATCACAATAATTTTATCACCTGAAATCTCAAATATAGCTTTATCACGATATATCGCGATAATTCTGAAAATATCTCAATAATTCTAAAAAAATATCGCATATTTTCATCTTTGATCACAATTCACGTTAAATCTGTTCAAAATACTCCAGAAATGAAGAAGAAATAAACCGTAACAAGTGTGGATACTAGATCTATTCCATCTTCCAAATTCCACAACAGACTTTAAGACAGCCGTTTAAAACGCAAAGGACCAACTAACCGACATTAGTCTCATGTATCAAGTACATTTCACTGAATAATATTAATCATTATCATACACGTGTTGGCTACGCTTTGATATAGTCTGGTCCCATACCCCCACAAAAAAAGCATCCACGATATTTATAATTATGATTGATATTATAACAGTAAAGATACCAGTTAAACTGCACACAACAATATACGTCACCATAGTAACGAAGAAGTGGTTTATCGTTGATTACCAAGTCCGTTGAAAATTACATTGATTTTTTACATTGAAAAATCGTCTGGATAATATTTTTTTTATTCTTTGAATAAAATGGCTTCCAATCTTAAATCTGTCAATGTCAATCGGAATATTTCTGATGAAAGTTCGGCAGATTGCAAAAACACACTGCTGCTGACACAAAAAAGAACATTTCTTCTGTCACTCATATGGGGATATTTTAGTTTAAAAAGAACATCCAACAACTCTGTTAACCAGATATTGAGTTAATGAATATTTATTCGGTATTCCGGGCATTCCAGTCGATCAGAATAGAATGATCTGAGTTGACGATACCTACAGGAATAATCTTAACGCAGCATATATACATGTATATACGTCTCACTTCATCAGTGCATCTCACGTACATTGCTAAATATCAAATGGAGACACTAAGATACATTAATCCATTTATACACCTCAAGTTATATCCATTTTATATCAGTAATTATCACAATATTGAATTTTTGAAGCATGATAATTTTAATTCGCAATAATTTACTCCAGACGATAATCCATGATATCGCGATAATTTATTTTACCAATATCGGGAGATATCGCGATATTTTTTTTCTGTATTGTTGCAACCTTAACAGATCTACAAAAAACATGTATTGTAATTCTACTGAATTCCCAATTTTACTACATAAAGTGCTCATTTAATTTTCATGTCAAAGGAATAAACCAATACATAATATATTGACAGAACTTGATCAATAGTCTGTAAAACACACTTGTTACTTTCAAAATGGCCAACAACTTTTAAACTGTGCTGATTACCAATAATATACAATAAGACCTACCCTGTATATACATCTAATTCCACAACTTTAGTTGGTGGTAATAACATCTGAAAATCACCAGTTAAATGACCATGATCTGATAACCGAAGATTCAAATGGCTTCCACATAAATCAGCTTCCGGAATACATTTGCTGAAAAAAATATTTTCTTAATATTATTTTAAAAAAACTCAGATAAGCTGTTCGTAGGTAAATCGCATGTATGTAATGAGTGCATTTACAAGACATTAAAAAATGATCAAGAATAACAACAAATGAAGTAATTATTAGAAACTAATATTTGATAGGCTTTTAGTTTTTCCTACTGTCATTATTAAAGCATCTTTCATGAAAGAGTTCCCTCCCCTTTGTTCTTTATTGGGGTCCTTGGGAGTTATCTCCCATGTGTGGAATCTTTTGTACTTAGACAGGTTCAATAAAACATAGACTGGATAACCTGCTCTAATACGTCAGACTCGCTCCTACGTCACTCCTTTTCTGACTTGCATATAGAGACAGGTAGTGGGCAGCCATGTTTTGATGTAGTGTTACTAAAAATAGACAGGTATCCCTAATGATGGCGTTCAGCGTTAAAATGAGTAAGCTAGTAGAAGATTTGTTAAGCTTTTCTTTAATGAATAAGATTGCTCTAGCCAAACTAAATGTTGATCGTGCGACATCTTATTATCTTAAACCCAAACAAAGCGACAGTTTAAAATCAGCACTTATGATCAGATACAATTTCGTAGGCCTACCGGCTATGGCAAATCGCTCAGTCATATTTGATTTATTGCCGTATTTCTCAAATTCAAAAATATAATTAATGTACCGTTAAACTCCAATATTGAGAAGAAATTGCATAGTTTCGGCTGTAATCCACAAGCTAAACATAAACTACCGCTGCATTTATTTGGTGTTGACATCTTTATTGCATACTTCAGCGACCGATCATGTTTTTTGTTTACATTGGTAATGTGCGCAGAAAGAGATGCATACTGCCGGGAGGAATTCCTCCTGGCAAGACGGCTGCCCGCTACCTGTCTCTATATTGAAGTCAGAATAGCGCAGTGACGTAGGAACCAATCTGGCGTCATTTAGAGCAGGTTGTCCAGTCTAAATAAAACATGGCCTATCTAAAATCATGCTGCACATAGGTCTCGCTATCTAGCATTCGACTTTGCCGTCAGCTCACGCTCTAGACTGTTTGACCCAGAGGTCATTTGTCATGTGATTAACTACATGTTTGGAACATTGATCTTGTTTTATATTCAATACATTTTAATCCATGCCATCCCTGGCAAACCAGAGAAGTATACCCACAGAGCATGGGACAGATGCGTGCCAAACCAGATATCCACCCACAATTTTAGCTGAAATTTGTGAAAAATATGGAGAATTCACCAAAAATTCACCTAGATCTACCACCAAAAATTCACCTAGATCTACCACAGTGAAAACTGACAATGAGAGACATTTTTCTTAAATATTCAAATTGACGATAATTTTGTTAAAAGCTTTTGAAGTTGTTGTCATATTATTGTGGAATTTAGCCCAAGCACTCCCAAGAAATCAAATTTGACATCACTGTTAACCAGTGATCTGATTTCAAAATTTGTCTTGTCGAACATTTTTAACGAAAATAAAGGGTCAGGCTTTTAACTGACTCTGTATACAATCGTTAACATTTCCATAATCTTGTTGTTTATTTATGATTACATTGTCACTTTGTAAAGTGCCCCTGAACATGTTATATGAAAGGGTGCACTGTAAATATGCTGTAATAATAATAACAATAACTCTTATTGTTATTTAAGCAGATGGTTTCAGACCACAATTAAAAATCATGTGTCAACAAAATATTCAAATTTGTACGTAATAAAAAAAATAGGCGCGCCTCGTTATTTTTCATATTTAATTCCTGTACGGTATTTAAATTTGTCAGTAATATTCCTACAAAATTATGTGTTGTCGTAATACGATAGACTGAAAGCGTGCCGATTACTGTTGACCCGTACTTTTGTTCAAATTCACCGTATTTTTCGGGGTATAAGTCGATACTTTTTTCAGCAGAACAATTTAAGACGTTTGGAAAATAGTGTCAGACATGTCCAGAATATACGGGCGAAATCCCATCTCTGCTGTTAACATTTATTAAACAAAAAAAAAATCTCATGAACTTGCCATTGTGTATAAATTTAAGGGCAATTGAAATATTACTTTAACATCTTGAGTGCACAAAATTTTTTCAAAGTAGCCAAGGGCAATAATTATGGAAGTTAGTGTTGGAAATTGATGAAAACCAATAGGTTTCTTCACCTCATTAACACTGAATAAATTAAAAGTCAATTTCTTCAACTTTGGAGGAAATTATCAACAATCATTAAATATCAACAAGCATTTTTGTTTTAATGAGATAGACAACCTTTATCAATTTCAAAAAAGTTAATCATATCAAAAATCGCATTGTGTCAGGCCTGCTTAAGGCTAACTTTTAAATAGGCCCTAAACTTTGTTGCTTATCAGGCCTTTAGTAGTATATAAAATATTATTTACTTACTCATCCCTAACTGTATACATGTATAGAAACTGTGTTCTCCACATTACTTTCAACAGTTGTATTTTACCATCATAAGATTGGATTACATGCCATGGATCATGTTTATACTTAATATCTGAACAGAACTGTAGACCAGCAATATGATCACGACCTTCTTCACCAGATATATCAGCATACAATGTACTATAAAAACAATACAATAATTATTATTCAAATAAAACCAAAGACTTACAAATCAACTCCTTACTCTTAATCCTGTATAGTGTGTATTCAGTTGTCACTCAATGGCAGATAATTTTTATCACTGACCTCTTAACAGAAGTGACCTCTTAATAAAATCTCAAGTGTTTGTTAGTGCTGATATCAAGTAAACTTTTACACTTGGATGCATCGGGAGCAAGTATCATTGGAACCAGTGGTCTGCCTTCGGTTAATGGGAGAGGGAGAGAAATGGGGTTTAACGTCCACTCGACACAAACTAGGTCATTTCGGGACTAACAAATGGTTTAATTTTATTTCAGTAATTTGCTTGCGCGTAGGGGTCTTTAGCAGTGGGAGGAAACTGGAGGACCCCGAGAAAACCCACGAGGTTGGACAGGCGACCCTACTCCTTGTCACGTACAACCGGGGTTCGAAACCACACCAGTTGGCTCAATGACAGGCCTTATGATACAGCACGCACGTGCTAACCATTCGGCCATCCAACCCCCCTCCTTCAGTTAATAGAATCTAACTGCGATTGAAACACATGTGAGAACTAAAGGTGGTCTGCATCCACATGGCTCTGCAAACCAGTCAAATTTTCATGTACATATGTTTTGTTTATCTCAGATTGTGAAGACAATGTTTTGACAGAATTTGACAAATTTTAGCATTACCTAATTTTTTTAATTTATTTGCGTTTTATAGTTAAATTCTAATTACCCAATTTTATGGTTAAGTAAATTGACAGTCTTGCTGTCCATTCAAAGAACATTTTTAATACTAGAATTTTACCTTGAAACAAAACGTTGATAAGGTGATAGTGAATCCCCACGTAGTAGAGCTTTTATTAAAGAAAGATGAAGATACAAATATGGATGGCTTGCTACCAAATTTTCTAAAAATCTTTCTCCTTCTTGTAACTGGCATACGTCACCATCTGTTAAAAACAAAAATTCAAATATATTGTATTGATTAAATTGTTTAGAAGATCTCTCAAATTACTGGTACTTGATTTTGTTAAATTTCTTTTTTTTACATAATGGACCTTAGTTGAAGACATGCAAATACCCTGGCAGTAAAAAAATGATCTCTGCGACATATTAATATAAAACTTCTAAATTTTTCTTTTTTAGTCCTGAAAATCATTCACTTACACTGTTTATATGTATTGCTATGAGAAGCTGAACGATTCTAGTAAATGGAATGATAATCATGGTGATGTTTCCAGCTTTGAATGGAAAGACAAATTAAAGACTAGATATTACAGGCAAGTATTAATCTACAGTTCTTAACTGGCGATATCTACTATCAAAAGAGTGATATTAAATCTATCATTCAGTGAGCATAATTTGAAAGTTTACAGAATATAAGATGGATAAAAATTTTAATTATTCCAATGTAGTCATGAATAAATCTTTCATTGAAAGCAGTAGAAGAGTAGAAGAATCCTGTAAAGGCGCAAGCAAGTCAGGATCACCAGCAGATGAAGGGCTGTAGCGCGAAACAACGCCTGGATAAACCAGTCTTGTCAAGTTTGTTGCTTGGGGATGATTTTGGGGAATTTTCCTTATTAATGTATGAATGACAGAAAAGAATTAAGAAATTGATACACATACCTTTCCACATTCCACTATGATAACAAAAGAAGGCATCAACAGCTTCTAACCATGTACCAACAGGTGTTGATGGTGCTATTTGTAAAACAGCTTGCCAAGAATCATATGATGAAGAACTCTTCTCACATGTCATTGGTCTGTTGGTATATAAAAATTGAAATGAGGATCTAATCAGATGCGATTACTCATGTATTATTATTGTTGTAATTTAATAACTTGAATCATTGCAACCCTTGGCAGTTGGCATTTGAAGTAGAGAGTACAGCAGAAACTCCTCTGTTCAGGCAAAATTTTAATCAAAACACACTGGAGGACCCAGAGAAAACCGTTGAGGTTGGACAGGCAACCATACTCCTTGTCACGTACAAGCCAGGAATCGAAACCACACCACTCGACTCAATGACAGACCTTATTTGCCGATGATGACTCGGAATCGGAGATAGTAGAAGTAGTTGGGAGAGTGATTCAATCAAAGTTCAGTAGTCAAAGTGGAAAATAGTAGGAAATACAAATAATCCCTTTAGTTATAATAAATTTGAAACTGAAAAAATATAAAAACTTACCCCTGATCGTAAACATTTGCCAATAACATGAGCATTTGAACTTTAATCTGTACATAATTAACAGTTAAAGGAGAAAACAATGAGAAGATCACTTCACTTGCTTCACGGTGAAGTTTTCGGGCTAAACTTGGTTCATTTAATTGAGTATAAAATCTAGCTGCTTCACTCAGGTAATAAGCCCTGTGATATCCTACGAAAAAAAATAACATTCTTATATTGTTGGCAATTTGCAATCCATAAAAAAAATTTGAATGAATCTGGTAATGCAGGCTTTCCATATGCTCAAATATAAAATATGCGATCCTGATAAACGCTACTGTCATCTAACACTGTAGTGATCATTTGACAAAATAAAAACACAAAAACAACCCCCCTCCCTCGCATCAGATTTTTAGGAAGGACTATCTGAGAACCAGAATGGTTTTTTTGTATGGCCTTACGGAAGATTCTATATCAAACATGTGAAAATAGCATGTGGATTTACTCAATAAATGCTACAGTTTAAAAATCTGCAATATTTCAATAATAAAGGTCATTTACCTGTAGCATCTTGAGCTAATTTCAGAAAATAATGGGCAGCATTTTTATTACCATGAGCCCAAAATATATATGGTACAACGTCATCAAATATGTTCTCTACAAAATCTGGGTACCTGAAAATGCAAGAATATAACATGTTATACAAAAGAACTAGAAAAAATTTTCCAATTCAACTGGTGGGGAGGGGGGGCTACTGTGGCTCAGTAAGATGTTGGCACGCTAACCTGAAGGGCCTGTGTTTGATCTCAGTGTTTGCCGAGAAACTTCATTTTGATTTTCCAGTGTGGTTCCCCCTCGTCAGTGGCGTAGGATAGTGGGCCTGGCAAGGGACAACATATAATTGTTCGTATGGGGTGGAAAACCAAGGTCCCTTGTGCACATTGCCGTACAGGTGAAAGAACCCTTGACAGTTGTAATTCGATATAAGAGTAGACAGTAATGCCACTGTCCAGACAAAATTTCCCTCACAGCACACTTCATGGCTTATGCCTGTCTTCATTAACTCAGTCGCAGCAGAACAATAGGATGTTAAACACCATTTCATTTCCATTTCAACTGGAGTAATTCCAACTACATTATCTAGTTTTAAATAAGTCATGTCCAATGTCTAATATTAATATTTATACATCTCATTATTACAATTAAAAATGCATTATGGAAGAGCTGAATCTGCCTATTGCAAATCTTTCTTTAGGTCTAAACATTAATTAACTTGCCAAGATCATAATCAACTCTTAAGCCATCGGATGGCTCCGATATTTAGTAGATTTGAATGTTTTGTAGATTAATGAAAGAACCGTAAAAATTGATAATCAAGGATTTGTTAATTATTGTAACAAAGGTAGTAATGACAATTGAGGCTAGACTATAATTGTATCGCTAAAATATCTAGGGTCAGAATTTAGTAATTTGACTGAAATTTTCAGCATATTCTCTTTTCACTATCTATTTTTAACTATTATTGTAAGAACTGTCAGCATATTCTGTTTTCATTATCTATGTTTTAACTATTATAGCGAGAACTGTCAGCTCTTTATCTAATCTTACCTAATGCCCCTTCAACATTACCAATGAAACCAAACAGATTGCTAATTGTTTAATGATTACCTACTTAAAGATGCATTATGTAAGATTTAGATAAAGAGCCGGCCATTTATACTATAGTTCAAAAAAGATAATTAAAAACAACCATATTGAAAATTTCATTCAAATTACTTCATTCTGAGCGAAGTTATCACTGTTTAAAGTTGTGGCATAAATTGTTTATTATTGTAGCAACTAGCAATGGTACTTGTTAATCAAGACTAAGCCTCGATTCGCCATTTAAAATTGGATCATGTTTCAGTCCATTTAAATCTCTGCCATCCGATGGTCTATGGAGCTGATTATAGGTTTGTCAAATTAATTGTCATGTGAATAAGTGTCTAAATAATATTTTATATAACATTTCAAGATAAAATAAAGATATACAATAGGCTGATTAAACTCTTACATAATGCATCTTTAAGGAATAATTATTTTATAAGATTTGTCCTGTATTACCTTCTACAAAGCATTTTACGAACTTTGTCAACATTTTCCTCGATAACTTGTTGATCAGTTTTGCAACTTTTGTTTTGAAGACCAAATTGTTGTAGCATCACATCAACTAACCTACACAGGACTTTCAAAAACAGAAATAAAAAATGCCATAATATATTTTTACAATTTTTTCAAGAACAGGAAAAATATATTTATTAGTCTGAAATCCAAAGAGGGCCAAGCAATAAACCGTTCGACAAAGCAGTGATTTTTTTATGTTAACAAATGTGGTTATACATTGCTGTGGCACAAGCTGTCCACCTTTCTTGTTAGTACAGAGACAGAGAGAGAGAGACACAGAGACAGAGAGAGAGAGAGACAGAGAGAGAGAGAGGGTTTAAAGTCCACTCAACACAAACTAGGTCATTTCAGGACTAACACATGATTCAATTTTATTTCAACAATTCCCTTGCGCGTAGGGGTCTTTAGCTGTGGGAGGAAACCGGAGGACCCGGAGAAAATCCACGAGGTTGGACTGGCGACCCTACCCCTTGTCACGTACAACTGGGCATTCAAAACCACACCAGTTGACTCAATGACAGACGTTATGATACAGTGGGCACATGCTAACCAATCGGCCATCCACCACCCCCCCCCCCCATATTGTAATGAGATTGTCTATCCTTTCTAACCGATTCAAAGAGGTAGCATCTTAAACCGTCACCCTCTTCTTTCCACTTACCTGATAGTATATTTACTTTTGAGTCCTCAACTATATTAGTTGGAGATGAACCAATGAAGTAAATAGTATATGGTAACCACCTTGCAATTTGGTCCCCATCTTCTTCATTTCTGTTATCAGTTCCCTTCATTAAAAACCACACAGTCCGAACTGTATATTTATACACCAGTTTATCTGGTTTTCCTTCATCTTTACGATATTGCATAAACCATACAGGATTGTTACTATATTTTCTGGATACTTTGATCAAATGAAACAGACTACGTGTTAACCATGAATACTGAATACTTGAAAACAATCGCGTTCTTTTATATTTATTTACTATTTCTTTAAGTTTACTGGGTAACAATGAATATCCAATCATGGACAAGTTAGATGATTTCTTCCACAAATTTTTGATACACAGATCCATGAGCGTTGGAACAGTTTTTTGAATATTTTGAGCACAGCTTTCTAAATCCTCTGCAAAATCACCCACTTCAAGGTCAAGATTTTCAACATCTTGAAATGGAATTGAAAAATCGTGTAGCATTTTTTCTTTTAACTGCTGGCGTCGACGTCTTTTTTTCTTTTTACTTAGAGCTTTAACTTTATCACTTTTGTGATTGTCTAAAAAGCATGCGTAATCAGAACTACTGCTTGAGCAATCACTACCTAATAAATCATCTTCTTGGTCAACTGACTCATTTAAAGTCATGGACTCAAATTCTTCCTCTGCAGAAAAATATTCTGATATGTCAGAAACATCTGATAAATCGGAATCATTTAAGTCATCTTCACACGGAAATAATTCTGTAGAATATTTCTTGGATGATTTCCGCCTAATTCTGGGTTTGGGTTCACTTTCTTCTGTAGCACCACGTCCTATTTCCATGGAAATGGTTCTAGCATAGGAAGGATGAGATGTTAGAGCACTGAGGTCAGGATCATCCATTGTCAATTATATTGCACTGAAATATAGAAATTATTTTTCTTTTGAGTAAGCTTATATTATTCTTATAAAGGCTATATCAATATTATAAAAATTTAATAAATCACAAGTTATGGCAAATAAACAAACATAGTATTGCTTTAATAAGCTTAATAATTTAATAACTTTTTTGGAAACACAAAATAATAATTTAGTTGAATTTAAGAAGCCCTGATAGCTTTGATTGAAGGGAGATAACTTGTGTTTGTGATTTGTGTTGATAAGAACATAATATAATGTATGCTTTCGTTGCAATTCGCTGTAATGTATCGTAATTAGTGATTGATTACTTCACTAACAATGAGCAGAAAAGGTCCTTCAGATGTGATTGGTGATATATAGCCAATAACCCATCGCTATATAAATACAATATTATCATATATACTACCCATCAAATGATAATCCAATATCATCAAATATCTGCTTACCAGTATAATTAATGCAACAAATAGATGCCTATCACCCAATACCTACGTACCCAATAACACTCCTTTAAATTCAACTAAATTGTTATTTTGTGTTTCCAAAGTCAGCATTTTGGAACATTGAGTGTATTGGGTAATTCGACGTTTCTGATTTTTAGGGTAAGACAATTTCATGCATAAAAGAAAATCACCAAAAATTTGAGTAGAGAGAGAGAGGGAAAGAGAGAAAGAAATGGGGTTTAACCTTCACTCGACACAAACTAGGTCATTTCGGGACTAACATATGGTTTAATTTGATTCCAATAATTTGCTTGCACGTAGGGGTCTTTAGTAGTGGGAGGAAACCGGAGAACGAGGTTGGACAGGCGAATCTACTCCTTGTCACGTACAACCGGGGATTCGAAACCACGCCAGTTGACTCAATGACAGGCCGTATGATACAGCACGCACATGCTAACCATTCGCGATTCGGCCATCCATCCAATCCCCCACCAAAAATTCGAAGGAAAAAAACAGAACATTAAAATTTTTGAAAAACAGGCGGTGCAAAAAAATAAAATAATTTTTTATTTTTTTTTCAAAAACCACATAGGGGCACCATCAGTTTATCTGTGATTATACGCCATACGGTACTGTCTGACTGAGTGTTTAACTGTAGGCCTACACACAAGTTCCTACAGTCCCTCTCTTCCCACTGTTATTGATCGACTCAGACGACTGCCGACATTTTTATTTGCTCTGTTTTATAATAAGTATCAACAACATAAAAGCAAAATATTACCTTGATGTAGTAACCCTGGCGTGCTATTTAATGCTGTCTTGTCTTTTATGGTGTAACAATCTATAAATTGACAGTATTATAGGCCTATTTGCAAAACATCATTTCATACTATTGAGCAACATCTCCATAAACAAAAGGGGGGTAAATCATTGAAATCTCTTGTAGTCTCGATTACCATGAATGAAATTGGCTATACAAAGGACCAAAGGGTTGCATGCTAAAAAATAGCCCGGCTATTTAAGTAGTTACAAAATATGCACAAAAATGAATTAACAACTGCAAAACGAATTGTTCTTATTATTAGTAGTTGTACTATTTGTAAAATGAATTATTTTATTGTTTTCTTTTATTCTAGTATTTGTGCTACAATTATGTGATTTAATCAAGTTATAATCAAAAAATAATTTTAATTTAACATTGTCATTATGCATCGGCGACTAATGACTACTAATGATAAATAAATAAATTAATGACACAAAAATTGGGCGTGGCTCTGCCCCTGGGGGGGGGGGGGGTTTGGACATAGATCAATATAAATAGGTACAAGCCTATGATGGATCATGCCGAATTGGATCCAAATATGTCAATTACCCCATTGCAACCTGTAGATTATTTACAGACAAAGTGGATCATGCACTAAAATCAATAGTTGCCGTCCTTAGATTATAATGAATACCAAGATGATCCATTCAGAATTGCGGCCTGTATATGATAAATACAAAAATTGGGCTTGGCTCGATCTGCCCCTTGGGGTTTGGACTCGCAGCAAAATTAATAGTTGCCATCCTCAGGCTATATGGAATACATATGCCAAGTTCCAAGACGATCCATTAAGAATTGTGGCCTGTAGGAACACATAGACACACAAAGAAAAATGGGTGTGGCTCTGCCCTGCGGGTTGAGCATTCATTAGAAACAATAGGGATCATCCTTAGGGTATAAGGAATAGGTCTACAAAGATTCAAAAGTATCTGTTAAGAATTGCGGCCTGTAGGTGACACACAGACACACACAAAAATTGAGCTTGGCTCTGTCCCACGACGCCGTGCAAGCTGCAAAAATAAAGGAGGTCATCCTTAGGGTATAATGAATAAGTATGAAAAGTTTTCAAGACGATCCATTAAGAATGGCTACCTGTAGGCGACACACAGAAGCATAGAGAGAAAATGGGCTTGGCTCTGCCCCTGGGGGTTGGGCATGCACCATATACAATAGGGATTATCTTTCGGGTATAAGGAATAAGTATGCAAAGTTTCAAGATAATTTGTTAAGAAATGCCACCTGTAGATGAAAAACAAACAAATACAAAAATGGGCATAGTTCTGCCCCTGGGGATCAGGCATGCACCAAAAACAATTGGGATCTGGGAGAAGACTTGTAAATTGTATAATTTGTTCTGATCCCGTTTGTATTATACGCATATACTTATATGTATGTATTTGCAAATAAACTATATTATATATAAAAAAACAAGCAATTGGGATCATCCTTAAGGAATAAATATGTAACGTTTCAAGACAATCAGTTAAGAATTGCGGCCTGTAGGCAACACCCAGACACACACACACCCACACAAGACAGGGGCGACAGCAAAATCACATTTTAGCTTGTAGCATAGGCGTAGGAGCTCAAAGTAATTCAGGGGGGCATAAGAGTAAATTGCCCGAAATCAATATAATATAATCAATATAGTATATATATCGAAATCTATATGATCAATATATAGTATATTATATTAATTATATATAATCAATATAATATAATATAAATCAATACCTATCGTAAGAGAGCTTCGGGCATATTTTCGGGCATGCAGTGGACAAGAAAAAGATAGAAAATACATTTCGGGCAGTGTGGATCTCATAGAAATAAGTTAGTTATATTTTTTCTCTAAACGTTAATAGAAAAAAAAGGTCGTCAAATTTTTCATTGCCCGAAAAGAAATTTTTTGGGGGGCAAATGACCCCCCTGCCCCCCCCCCCCGACTCCTACGCCTATGGCTTGTAGACCATCTAGAAGTCACAATTTGTATTAAATTTTAAAAACTGTTTAAATAAATTAAATTTTGTAAAAATCCGCTCGAGGACAAAATTGCCACTCCTTGCATGCAAAGTCTAAAAGTATGTAATACCAAGTCACAATTTTTATCCAATTTTGATGAAATATGAAATGTATGTTTACAACCTTAACTTAAAATATGTTTTCATCCCAAAGATCTTGGTTCCCTTTGATATTGTCGCCTGTTGGACCATAACATCCTGGATTATGGCCTCTGATTGTATAAAAAAAAGCCCTTTTTAGCTTGTTCTCTTGTCTATCTCTTCAGAATGTCTCTTGTCCATCTCCCCAGAATGTGGGCGTTTCTTGCATGGCAACTGCCTGTATTCAATAAACACAATCTGATTGAACAACAGATAAGGGCTTATGTAAGTTCTCTCCAAATAGTATTTCTACCATAATAGCTATATACCTTTGTTTCAGATAGGACTTGAGGCTAAAAACAATTGTTTTAAAAAATATTTATGAAAATGATATAAAGCATTGTATAAATATTTAATTTTTTCATTAAAACAGTTATATGGTAAAAACTATTGGTCTGTTCAAGATGCATTATGTAAGATTTAAATAAAGAACTGGCCGTTGTTGTTATTACTAGTTCAAAAATAGTAATGCAAAATGTAACATAGGACCGAAAGATCTAATGATAAGATGACTGTGGATTTGACTTCTTTATTTCAACATTGCAGGAAGAAACATTAAACATTATTATATCTATAATTCTAACAATCAATACATCACACAGGAACATAATATATCATAACAGATAGTAGTCATTACGGCCATCGTCCTAATTCATGTCTGCTTCCATTTTCACATGCCCTCGTTCTGTCTTGAAGAGCAGTCTAGAGTCTATGGTCTCTTAAGCTTGTCTGAGTTAGTATCTAACAGCTATTCACAAGGTATAATACATATATATTAGTAGCCTTAATTTAATGGACCATCATAAAATATAATCTAATCATATTGAAGTGATGTCTTACTAACTAACTTAATTATTAGATGTGTGATACACCTGCCAATATCATTGTCTTACAAAAATAAATATATTGAAAAACTCATTCAAAATACTTTATTCTGAGCGTAGTTATCCATGTCTGTAGTTTGACAAGATGAGTGCATTGATTGTTTATTATCGTTACCATGTAGCTGGTTATTCGAGGCTTAGCCTCACTTCTCCATTTTTGAATTCAATCATTAAATGGCTGAACCGTTCTAATCTAATGCCTGATAAAGGACCTGCAATATGCAGATTTAGCTGTTGAATAATGCCTCTTTAACAAATTTATAGAGTTAACCAGTGTAAATCTGATAAGTATGTTATAAAAAATATATAGAGTTAACCAGTATAAATATGATATGTCTGTTAACAAATATATAGAATTAACCAGTATAAATGTGATATGTCTGTTAACAAATATATAGAATTAACCAGTATAAATGTGATATGTCTGTTAACAAATATATAGAATTAACCAGTATAAATGCGATATAGAAATAAACAGTATAAATAAATAAATACAAATGTTTTAACAATCAACACCAACAATCAGTTATATAAAATACAGTTCATACATGTACCAGTGATGCAGCTTGATACAGTACTCATATTTAAATGATGCCTACTTTATTAAGGATTATGGTGCCTACTTGTAACAGCTAAGAATTGATTAATCCCATTGCTTTTTCTCATTTTCATGAACTTCAACTCTTTATTGATCAAACCATTGATTTAGAGTTGTATTTGGTGATTATATAGAGGATATTTGTCGTTTTAGAGTGAATAACATATTTTATTTCATCGAGAAGCAAGAAAACTTATATTTTCACGAATGCGTAGCATGAGTGAAAATATAAACGTTTTCTGCTTAGAGATGAAATAAAATATGTTATTCACGACAAAACGACAAATGTTCTATTTATTTTATGATTTTACAATCATTTTAGGTAAAAACAACATGGACTACTGCTAGCCAGTGGAATAACACTTTTATTTCATTGATAAACCGCGGTATTCCACTACTGATCATAAAATAAAAATTATTATTTGACCTACCCAGTATGTACAGCATTGTATATCATAGGCTATAGTTAGTCCCGAAATGACCTAGTTTGTGTCGAGTGGACGTTAAACCCAATTTCTCTCTCTCTCTCCAACAGGCGAGCATGTTGGAAGATTTGCATAATCGATTTTGCAAATCGTCGTGGTAAATATGACAATTAGGTGAAACAGATTAGACTAATTTTTGCTGTAAATGTGTTTGAAAAGGATTTGCAAATCGATTAGCCATTATCGTTTTCTCGCAAAAACGCCTTAAATTAGGAGAGTTATTGTGTTCCAAAGTCTCGACCAATCAAATTGCTTATCGCTCTGCTTACCCTGAGCAGAAAATGTTCATTATCGAACTATACAGTTGTAATGAAAATATACACCAAGTTTGATCACTCTCACTTAATCAGAACTAAAGCATAGACTAAAATTATTGTGTCCCAAAGTATCAACAAATCAAATTGCTTATCTCTGCTTACTGTAGACATCGACCTAATAATAAACACTTGCACAAAGTTTGAACATTCTAGCTCAATTAGGAGAGTTATTGTGTCCCAAAAAGTATGACGGAAAGACAGACGGAAGAACCCGATAGGCGGAGGACAAAAAAAAAAAAAAAAAAAAAAAAGCAAAACATAACTTTTGAAAAACAGGCAGTGCAAAACAAAAAACAAAACAAAAATTTTTTTTTTCAAAAATCACATAGGAGAGGCACAATCAGTTTATACAAGGGCGTTCCTGTCTCCACGCCTACTTGTAATTTTACGGTATTGTGTAACTAACTCAACTGTACAAAAGGACATTACTACGTAACAAATACAAGTTCCAAACTATTCCCACTGTTCACTGTGCCGACATCTTTATTTTTTCTGTTTTTTTAATAAGTATCAACAACATAAAACCAAAATATTGCCTGGCGTGCTGGGTGCATGGTAAAAATAGCCCGGCTAAAATAGGCACAAAATTAAATGGAAAAATCGGAAAAGTGTTGAAATATGCACAAAAATGAATAAGTAACTACGAAACGAATTGTTTTTATTAGTAGTACTTTTAATATTTGATATTTGTAAAATGAATTATTATTATATTTTTTTGTTTTATTCCAGTTTATATCAATATTTGTTATATTTGTGCTCCAATTTATTAAGTTATAATTAAAAAATAAATTTCTGTTTGTATAATGGATAGTAATTTTTGTATAAATTTGATTAAAGTATGTCTCAACAATTTATGTATAGGCCTATACATGTGTTTCATTTGTTATTCAATTCAAAGATAAATAGTTGTACCTAAATCTGCCCATTGCAGGGCTTTCTTTTGGCTGCAAGACTCAAATGTTATATGAATTATTAACTAAATATTTTTTCACATGACAAGCCCCCCCCCCCCCCTGTTCCGCGGCCCCTGCATATTAAGTTCTTTAGGAACGGTGTCTGATCAGACTATATCAGACGGTCCAATCAGACACCGTTCTAAAAATAAAAAAAGAGAATGAAATATGAAATGACTGCAATGACTGTACTATGACATGATGCACAGAAGGCTAGACGTTGGGTTTATTTTGCCAAATTTACAGGCTAAATATTAACAAAAAAATGAGTGGGACACCGTCCCAGGGGATTGGGCATTCGCCGAAATAAATATTTGCTGTCTTTACGGAACAAGGAATAAGTATGCAATGTTTTTAGATGATCTATTCAGAATTGCAGCCTGTAAACGATGAACACAAAAACTGAGCAAGGCTCTTCCCCTGGGTGTTGGAGATGGAACAATATAAATAGGTACAACTCTAGATCTGTTGTGTTTACTATAATGTGCTCAATTACTAAATGCCATTCAAACACTATAAAGGTACAACCCTGTTATTGAAATGATTGATATGCTGAATTTGAACAAAATCTGTTCATAATTGCAACCTGTAGAGTACTTACAGACAAAAAAATTAACAAAAAAGTGGGTGTGCTACCACAACCCTGGGAGTCGGGACATGCACCAAAATAATTAGTTACTATCCTTAGGGTATAAGGAATAAAATATGTCAAGTTCCAAGATGATCCATTCAGAATTCCAGCCTGTAGACAAAAAGACACAAAATTGCCGCACTTAGGCTATAAGGAATACATATGCCAAGTTCCAAAATGATCCATTCAGAATTGCGGCTGGTATGCGATAAACACAAAAACTGGGCATGGCTCTGCCACTTTGGGTTGGAACATGCAGCAAAATCAATAGTTGCTGTCCTTAGGCCATAAGGAATACATATGCCAAGTTCCAAGATGATCCATTAAGAATTGGGGTCTGTAGACAATACACAGACACACAAAGAAAAAATGTGTGTGTCCTGTTGGCAGCAAACACACACACAAAGAAACCAGCGGCTGCTGAGCAGGATACGCCCACATTTTGCAAGAGATGGATAGAGAACAAGCTAAAAACGATTTTTTGTACAATCAGGGAACATCTCGACCCAGAAAATTATGGTCTGAAATGCGCAAATATCAAAAGGGACTGAGAATTTTGGAATATAAAGATATGTTTTAAGTTTCATCAAAATTGGATAAAAAATGTGACCTCTAGAGGGTCCATAACCTTTGAATTACATACTTATATACAATTTGCATACAAAGAGCGTCCATTTCACTATTATAATTGCGTACAAGGGGCGGCCATTTTGTTTGGCAGTTTTGGTCTGATTTTCACAAAATTCGAACTCAACTTTCATTACGTTGTAACGGTGATATAATCAAACGTTTTTTGAAATCGGATAATAATTGTGACCTTCAGAGGGACCACAAGCGAAAAAAGGTGATTTTTCGTACAATCATGGGCTATAATTGAGCAAGTTACGATCCGATATGCGCAAATATGGGTTATAAACATGCATTTCAAGTTTCATCAAAATCGAATCAAAATTGTGACCTCTACAAGGTCCACAACCTTGATTACTATATTTCGCATACAAGCGGCGGTCATTTTGTCCGGAAGTTTTGGTCCGATTTTCATGAAATTTGAACTCAATCTTCCTTACCGCGTAACATTGATATAATCAATCAGTTTTTTTTAAATCGGATAATAATTGTGACCTCCAGAGGGACCACAAAAAAGGTATGTTGTCGTTTCGTACAATCAGGGGCCATAATTCAGGAAGTTACGATTTGATATGCACAAATATCGAAAGTAACCAAGCTCTTTGGGTTATAAACATGCATTTCAAGTTTCATCAAAATCAGATTAAAATTGTGACCTCTACAGGTTCCACAACCTTGATATACCATATTTTTTACACTATTCGCGTACAGCGGCGGCCATTTTGTCCGTCAGTTTTAGTCTGATTTTCAGGAAATTCGAACTCAACCTTCATTATGGTGTAACGGTGATATATAAAACCGTTTTTTTGAATCGGATAAAAATTGTGACCGCTGGAGGGACCACAAGCCAAAAACGCAATTTTTCGTACAATCAGGGGCCATAATTCAGGAAGTTACCGTCCGATATGCGCGAATATCGAAAGGAACCAAGATCTTTGGGTTATAAACACGCATTGCAAGTTTCATCAAAATCGAATCAAAATTGTGACCTCTAGAGTGCTACATTCCAATATCGAAAGGAACTGAGATCTTAGGGAGATAAACCTTTATTTCAAGTTTCGTTGAAATCGGATAAAAATTGTGACCTGTAGAGTGTCCACAAACAAATTGTGGATGGACGTCTGGACAGACAAACAGGGGCGACGGCATAATACGTCCACATGAAGATGTGGGCGTATAAAAATAGGTGTGACCTGTAGAAATCAAACAGACACACAAAGAAAGAATGGGTGTGGCTCTGCCCCTGGGAGTCGGGGAATCACCAAAAACAATAGGGATCATCCTGAAAGTATACAAAGTTTCAAAAGGTACTGTTAAGTTTTGCAGCCTATGGGCGACATACGCACACCAAAAATGAAAGAGGTCATCCTTAGGTATAAGGAATATGTGTGGAAATTCAAGATTATCCATTAAAAATTGCAAAATGTGGGTGTATCTTGCCTGGCAACCGCTGGTTAAAATTCTGTAACCCCCTTTTCAGAAATCCTCCCATGTATTGCAGCATACCTGTTAATTAATATTAAATCCAACAGAAGTCCAGAAATTTGTATTTAACTATTTACTTTTAATTCAAACCAAATTGAATCCAGATAAAATTAGTTGCACAGAAACTTTCCTAATCATCAAGGCCTAAAGTAATAAACAATGTAACAAGTGATTATTTCTAACCATAACATAAACAAAAGTTTTATTTGTTGGTAAAAGAAAAATCAAAAACATTTTCAGTAAAGTAATAATAGGTTATAAAACACATGAAATAAAAGACGGTCATGTAAAAGTCGATATGTTTTTTGAGTTGAACATAAATTAGCGCTCACACAAATACTAAATAGTATTCACAGAATGATTTAGACTATTAGTAAAGAAATATAAGCCTTCAATATGACCACTACTAAATTTATAACACAACATAATATAACATACTAAATTATTTCAAACAGAAATACTAAATAATTGATGTTTACCGGCTTTTCTTACAATGATGCTAAAATATGGACAAAGAAAAGAAAGCACATGTACATGTTTCAAAATGACATAAACATGATAGCAGGTCAGTCCTTGGTTAATGTGGACATATAGAAATAATACGAATGATAAAAAATGAATAATGAGTACCAGAAGTGAGCTGATAGTGGTGTTATCGGTAAAACCATTATCAGATACTTTTGGTAAAACTATTAGACGATACAAATACCCAAAATTTGAATACTAAATAGTTTTAATGTATAATAGGTGGCCCTAGAAACTCTAAACCAACGGCTGCCAGGCAGGATACACCCACATTTTCGAGAGATGGATAGAGAACAAGCTAACAAGAAAGTGATTTTTCCTACAATCAAGGGCCATAATTCAGGAAATTACAATTCGATATGCGCATATATCGAAAGGAACTAAGATCTTTGTGTTATAAACTTACATTTCAAGTTTCAACAAAATCGGATAAAAATAGTGACCTCTATAGGGTCCACAACCTTGATATACCATATTTTTACGCTATTTGAGAACGAACGGCGGCCATTTTGTCTGTCAATTTTGGGGCGATTTTCACAAAATTCAAACTCAATTGTCCTTCGGGTGGAATGGTAATATAATAATACGGTTTTTTAAATCGGATAAAAATTATGACCTCTAATGGGTCCACAAGCTAAAAACATGATTTTTCGTACAATCAGGGGCCATAATTCAGGAAGTTACGGTCCGATATGGGCAAATATTGAAAGGAACCGAGATCTTTGGGTTATAAACTTATATTTCAAGTTTCAACAAAATCGGATAAAAATTGTGACCTCTATAGGGTCCACAAGCTAAAAACGTGATTTTTCGTACAAACAGGGGCCATAATCCATGAAGTTTCGATCTGATACATGCCAATATCGAAAGCAGCCGAGATCTTTTGGGGATAAACCTATATTTCAAGTTTCGTCGAAAACGGATAAAAATTGTGACCTGTAGAGAGTCCACAAACAATTGTGGACGGACGGACGAACAGGGGCGACGGCATAATACGTCCACATGAAAATGTGGGCGTATAAAAACAAACATCAAATTTAATCAGCCACCTTAAAAGTTCTTCACAATGAAATATCAGTTAAAAGATCAGTAAAAATGGCCAATTATCCACAAATACTGATGTGTACCAATAACACAATTATCAAACGATACCGATGTGGTAACTCATGATCTATAAGTGGTACCCATGTGATTCAGAACATATGCTTCAACACACAATGACTGGGAAATTTTGTTCTACAAAATATTGTCAAACAACATCCACCGCATAAACAAATTTGATCAGGTGTTCTTTAAAAGAGACAGTGATCCTCAACAGTTTTCAAAAGTCACTGTTGGCTGTATCAGTTATCACAGATAGTTTTAATAATTTACGAGCATATCATCGAAGACCCAATGAAACTGCTTCCTGATTTATACGAGAAACAGCGTATCGTACAGTTTTCTACTTTCCAGTATCACCATCTATCATCGAAGTAAAAACAGCCTTCTGCAATATGTTTTATAATGTGACGTTTTTCTTTAATTATAGCATTCATTTCTCTTTTAGCTTGATGCAGAAGTTGTCCATAGTTTTTTCTGATCTCCTGATGCCATGCTGTAAAATATATATAAAGGTACACTTTAACAAATGAAAAAGTAAATAAATAAATTTGACTATGCTATAATACTTAAAGCTTTCGGAAACAAATGTGGGAAAAATATATAGCATTAAATTTTCGCTAAAATCTCTTTATGTGCATCTATTTTATCCGATAGAATCAAAGACAGGAAAATATCTAACATTGAAATTTTGTTTTCTTTACTAAATAATGAATAATCAATTTTGACTTAATCAAATTTCAGTGTGGATTTTGTCTGAAAAATACAAATAGAGATGAGCGTTTTAAAGTTATAATGTTTCCAACTGAATTATTGTATACAGGACACCCTTTGTAAGTTGTTTGAAAAAATGTCATTTTCAAATGAAATAATTTTGAACCATAACATGTATTTTAGTCAAATTTCAACTTATATGTTATTTTAACCCTATAAAATCTTCATGCATATGTACTAAGATGGTCTTTTATATAAACTGGACAAATCAAATCAGAATGAATTTAAATGAGGTTTAACTTCATATTTTTTGTACCAATTGGGCTAACAAAGAATGCTGGACATGGCATCCATTACAAAGCCAGTTAACATTTTAATTCATCCATTACTTTTAGATAAACAGATTCAAATGAATGAAATGTGCTTTGCGGGAAATTTTGCCCGACAGCAATGAAATTCCAACTGTCAAAGTTTCTTTTTTGTCCCATCCTAACAACTAGATGCTGTTCCTTGTCAACCCTGCACCACTGATAGGAGGAACCAATGCCGAAAAATCCTAAGGAACTTTCTGGGCCAGGACTTAAGGTTAGCAAACCAGTACACTTACTCACAGAGTCTCAGCGGCTCCCCAAATCAATCAAGATTGGCAATATTTTATAAACCATACTATATAATCATACCTACCACGTTGATCAGAACATACATAGAAAACTGTCCAAACACTTCCAGAGAATAGCTCTTTTGGCAAGGGAAATTCATGGGATAAAAAAAGCAGTTTTCCAATAAACCCATACATAGTACGGTAAATACACTGAAAAATAAAATTCAGAAATAAACATATCTGAGGAATTTTACAAATAATTCAAAACTAGAGTGAAAATTCATTGACAAGGAACAATGTATAGTTGTTCGGATAGGTAAAAAAAACTGATGTCCTGTGTGAACAATGGCATGCATGTAAAAGATCCCTTGACAGTTGGAATATCTTAAAAGAGTAGGCCGTAGTGTCGCTGTCCCAGCAAAATTTCCCACATAGCACACTATAAGGCATATGCTCGTCTTCAGTAGCCCAGGTAAATAAGGTAAATAAAAATATCTACACATACCTCTAACCAGTTGACTAATGTGAAACATCGTGGCGATGGACAAATTGGAATTCTCTGATATTCGCTTTCTCTGGTATGTCCTCCATAAACTAGAGCTGTTAATCCTAAAAATTCCGCCTCAGAAACCCATAAATTCTTTTTCCAATTTAATAGCAGGAAATATCTCAGCATTAAATATTTAAAACCATTTTTTCTTCCATACTTGTCAGTCCAAACAGTGTCTATACTACCTACAAAAAGAAAATTACTAATTATACAAATACATTTAATGATCACAAATTGAAGAAAATGAATCGAAAATTTATGTCCTACCTGGATAATGAATATGGGCAAACACCTTTCAGTCTACTAGGCGGTGAACTATGATTGAAATTTAGCCTGAACATATAAAACAAGCCGACATTGAGGCTAATGTCACCCGCCAAAATCCCAAAATAAATAGGTGATCCATTCTAATTATTTTCACATTTATCATTTTGAAAACTATCAAGCAATCAAACTGATTATTTGAATTTAGTCTCAACCAATCAATTTAGTGGAAAATGTATAATTGAACACTGTCAAGGCATTCACCTAATAAACACCACAACAAGTTTGAACATTCTAAAGTTTCGACCAATCAGATAGAAGTATCTACTTAGCCTTAGCAGAAAATGCTCATCATCGAACTTAGCCAAAGTATTGAGGTATTGATGTTTAACCACTCTCACTCAATTAGAATCAAAGTTATTGAGCTCCAAAGTCTCGACCAATCAAATTACTTATCGCTCTGCTTACTCTGAGCCGAAAATGCTTATCGAGTCAAGGTATTCATTTAATGAAACTATACACCAAGTTTCATCACTCTCAATGCTCATCTTCGAACACCATCAAGGCAATCTGCCAATAAAACACCTACACCAAATGTGAACATTCAAATATCAATTAGAAGGAGAGTTATTCTGTTCCAAAAAGTGTGACGGATGGACCTATTTTAATAGTCTCCTGCTTTCTTCGAAATGCTTGGGACAATTAATAAAAAATGTATAGCCAAGCTCCATGTGCCTATTTTTCCCCTTTATGATCAATGCCAAGATTCAATTAAATTTTGTTAATTAAATGCCTTATCAAGTACATACACCAAATCCTGTATTTGTTAAATCTCTGTTGCTAACATTTAAATTATTCAATATGTCTGATCGAATGTAGTTAAACTGAATAATTTATACCTGGTTCAAGATGCGTCATTATATAGTGAAAGGTTCGTAGATTTACAAAAATTTTACTAGGGTTGATGTCGTTTATCCTAGGAATATTTCTATCATTAATGGCTGTGACCTTAAAAACAACAAAAAGAAGGATTTCTTTAAATTATAAAGAATGAAAAACATAATGCTGAACTCCAATGCTAAACTTCTTTGATATTTGAGCCAAGTAGCTGTTTAAATGGAACCTGCAATAGCCAGCAGCATTAATTTTAATACATATTTCTTTACATCATCAACAGTGATTAAACATACATTATGCAAGAGCTAAATTGCAGGTCTTTCTTTAGGCCTGAAATGTTTTCTAAATTATTCATTAGACATTAATTAACTTATCCAGGCCATAATCAACTCTTGATGGCATCAGATTTCTCCGATATTAAATAGGTTAGAACAGTTCAGTCATATTTTGATAAAAGCTAAAAATGGAGGAGCAAGACTTGGCTTTCGAACAATCATTAGACATTAATTAACTTATCCAGGCCATAATCAACTCTCAATGGCATCGGATTTCTCCAATATAAAATAGATTAGAGCAGTTCAGTCATATTTTGATTTAAGCTAAAAATGGAGGAGCGAGACTTAGCTTCGAACAACCAGTGCGGAGGTTGAAATTATTGCAAACGTCTTGTCAAACCTTCAAGGGCTAATATCTTCGCTTGCAATTTGAATGGAATTTTCAAATTATTCATTATACGTTATCTATTTTCGAACTATTATAGCAAGAATGGCTAGCTCTTTATCTAAATCTTACATAATGTATCTTTAATAAAATCTGAAACAAAATTGTATTGGGTTGACCTGATGTGTGTCTTATTGATGGGACAGGCTCTGTGACATTAAATGTTTGTTTGAAGTTTGAACTGTGGCTTACTGACTAATTTTAGTTCAGATTTTGACTTCTGTGTGTGAAGTGAAATATAAAATCAATTATATATCTAGACTGGCATATGAAATCTATTGAGATTTCTGATAGAAACGAAAAAGGTCCAGCCATTAATTTCTCATTGTGAAATGAAATGGGGTTTAACGTCCCACTGTTCTAATCCTATACTGGGCTAATGAAGACGGGCATACGCCATCCAGTGTGCAAGTAGGAAATTTTGCCCGGGCAGCGGCACTATCGCCTACTCTTATAACGAATTCCAACTGCCAAGGGATCTTTTACGTGCATTCCAATGTATACACGAAACCTCGTTTTTTTTCCATATCATCCGAAGGACTAGACAGCTGTTCTTGTCAGGCCCTCCGTTCTGCACCACTGACAAGGGGAAACCACATCGGAAAAATTTCTCATTGTACAATATACTGAATGAAACAATACCTAAGTTTACACACCCTAAAATACATGGATATTACTAGTTCTAGTTTATTCACTATTAGGGTTATTTTGGTGGCAGTTTGCAGTACAAATGGCAAAGAACAGTTTCTAGTTGTTCGGATAGGACAGAACACTGAGGTTGGAACTGAGAGTTGGAACTTGATGAAGAGTATGCCTAAACACAACTTTCCAGACAATATTCTCCTTACTGGCATGGGAAGGAAAATACTGTCAGAGTAAAAGTGTGGTATATGCCTGTCTTCAATAGTCTGGTTGGTATAGAAAAATAGGACTTTAAACCCCATTTCATTTCATATGAGAAAATTTAGATAATAAATTATTTAAAGAAGAAACTGAAATATTTTAAATGTTGAGTAACAATTAAAGATACATTATGGGAGATTCAGTAACGAGTTGGCAGTTCTCACTATAATAGTTAAAAACTAGATAATGTAAAGGTAATTTGCTGAAAATTTCATTCAAATTGATCCACTATGAACCGAGAACTAAGCGATTGAAATCCCCATAAGCCTCGGTCATCATTACTAAAGTCAGTACGATAAACAGCATAGTCTCGATTATCGTTTAATCGAGAAGAAAAGTTATGCAGTAAATCGGCTTACAATCCACTAAAGATCGCAGGCTAGCGCTGCCATCTAGAGTTGATTATGGCCTGGATATTTTAATTAATGTCTAATTAATAATTTAGATAACATTTCAGGCCTTAAGAAAGACCTGAAATAGGCAGATTTAGCTCTTGCATAATGTATGTTTAAAATTAAATTATGAATAGTATTATCCACTATCATGCATTATGAGTTCTATACAAGTCACAATATTATGGAATACAATTACTGTTTATTACCAAGCGACATTTTGACTAAGCTTATCTAGTCTTAATCAAGCTCAGTAATAAGCATTCCAAGGCATTGCCTCTTGTGAATTTCCTGATTAATTACTAAATGCCATCGAAACAATTTATATGTTCAAGTGTTTTAAATCTTTTTGTAAATGCCACATTACCTGATATGAATTAACTTTACAATCTGGAGTGCGACCATATTCTGTTACTGTTTGTATGTTTTGTGGTAAGATCATATGATATATACATGAGCGTAATGTCTCCAATTTAATCTCTGCACACGGCTGACCATGATGCGTGTCCTCTAAAATAAGTCTTCTCCAATAAAAGTTAAAGTGCATGGCCATTAAAGGGGATGGATATTTTTGTTCTTGGATTCTTTTTTCTATTAATTTGGTAAAATAACCTTTCGATGATGCTGGTGCTTTTTCTATTCTCAACTGATAAAAATCTCGACTATATTCAACTGCTTTCATAAATGAATGATCATGTGACTGAAAAACAAAATAATTTATATAACACATTTGAAAGAGAGAGAGAGAGTGAAACGGGATATGCCATCTAGTCGACACAAAATTGGTCATTTATAAACTAACATATGGTACAATTTTATGTGAATAATTTGATGGAGCGTCGGGTTCTTTAGCAGTGGGAGAAAACTGGTGGGCCTGTAAACAACCAACGAGGTTGGACTGGTGACCCTACTCCTGTCACAAACAAGCGGGGAATTGAAACCATGCAACTTGACTCAAAGACAAATCTTGTGATCTAAAACGCATGTGTTCGACCATTAAGCCACCTACTAGACATTGGATCTCCTTTTTGACATACTTCTGAAGGACTTTATTCTGTTTTCATTGTTTCACACAAGTTAATTTTGGGTCATGAAAATAGGCAGTGCTTCTTGTGTTGGGTTAATGGGGTGACCAATTGGGATAATGCCAGGGACCCCCCAATTTCTATGGGCCACAAACTTATTTTTCTGCATAAATCAATTTCATAACTATTACGGTACATTTATGACAAATAGCTTCTTCCTTTACTGTGGATTTTAAGTTGAACTGATAAAGTCGCTGTTAATGATACATGTAATTATTATATTGTCACAAAAAATTGCTAAAATTTAAAGATGTCAGCTTATTAGTAACCATTACCATTTCATATGCAAAATCCCGAAGGTTTTCAACTTTTCTGTAACGATGAATAACATCAGCATACTCTTCTATACTCCTACAATTAATTTGTGATGCCAATCCATTAGCTAATAATATCGGAGCTGTAAAATCATTACCAGCCAGAATACTCATTTCAATAAGATCACTACTGGATGAAAACTGACAAAAAAAACAAAACAATTCAAATGAATTATAGTAATTAATTTTGAATGATTTACAAAAACTGGCATAAACGCATAGTTAAATTAGCTTGTCATATCTGCTTTTCTAATACTATGACAGTGTGGCATATTGTAAATTGAACAAAGGTGAACTATAACACACTAGTTTAAAGTTACCAGTCCATTTATTTAAATTTGATGTGTTGATAGATTTCGCAAAGTGAGATAGAACAAAGGTTGAGATATAACTAATTTGGTGTTCAACAATCAAGTTTTAACTAGAAATGAAACAGAAAATAATTCAATGTCAGGTTAATATTTTGGAATGGAAATCTGATCATATATTATGCAGATCTTTTCCCACTGTCAATTGAAACATTGTTTATCATTAAAAAACACAACACAATTTATATGGAAATACAATCACTTTTTTATAGGGATGTTTCGACAAGTATTCTCTTATCGTTATCAAGCACAAAGAGAATACTTGTCGAAACATCGTGCTATCCCTATAAAACAGTGATTGTATTCCCATATAAATTGTGCTGTTTTTTTTAATGTGTTCAATCGCTAAATGACACTCAAGGATTATACTGTTTATCATCTTATTGTTTTAAGGGGTATTATCTTTAATCACATGTTGATTTACATGTATGATATTGATTAGAACAGAAAAGCATATAAGCCTTGCTGTACGTCCGATTTGATCATCATTTGAGAGACTTAGATTTGAATCCCTAGCAAACTATTTTTTGATAGTCCTCTTTTAAATTATTTGAATGCAATTGAATCCAAGCTGGGTGATTATTATGTATATTTTCATTTTATTTTCTTACTTAAATAATCAATGTAAGTACATTTTCTTGTACAAAAAAAGGCTTTAAATTTTTGTTTACAATAGAATCATTAATGTCTTGTTTTACAGTGTCTAAGTACTGAGTAGATGTATTCAATATCTAGATCTTAGACTTACCCCTAAACTACGTACAACTCTTTCATTTGTGACTATTCCACATATTAGTTTCGGCAAAGATTGAGTAGAAAACGGGTTTATTATTTGATCTAAATGCAGATCATTTTCCATATCAAAAAGTTTATCGGGAATAAATTTACAGTTTTTAAAAATACAGAAGTCGGAATCACTACTTAAAACAGCAAAAGCTTTTTCTCTTTCCACAAAGTCAATGGCTATGACATCATCGGCCTCTCCTATCGGTATCTGTACAATGTCACACCCACATGATTTGATTGATTCCAGCATCTGTACCTCGATCAGTACAGGTCGAAAACAGTCATCTTTTCTTAGATTGTATATATGTTCAAAACCACCAGAAACATTTAAAACCCTGTTCAATTTATCCACATTCCGTTGGTCTCTTTTAATCCATGTATCAAGTTTACGTCTTTTTTGTTCTTTACAGCTTCCTTTGGCGCCATCGATATAGAAACGAAAACGAATGTTAGCAAAATTCAGATTTTTCAGAATATTGCAGACATAATTATCAAAAGTTGCATAATCTGCTCCGGATAACCTAAGATACTCGTTTCCAGTATTTTCACACAAATTTTCCGCAAATTTTCTTCTAATGTTCTGTAAAAAGTTATTATAGTCAACCAGTATTTCAATACCATTTCTCTCCCTCGCAACTCTTACAAGGTCCACTTCTTCCTTGCATCCATTTTCTTCATTTAAACAATAAGTTAAGAGGTAAGATATTCCCATTCTGATTTATTCTAGACGTAAGTAGATCTTATAATATGGTATCAAAGTTCACAAAGCTTATAATTTCTGCTGTACTTGTTGTATTATGACATACAGTTGTCTGATCATTTTCTATTACTTAGACTGAAACAGAATAGGTTAGATTTATAGTTTCAATTAATATACATGTAAGTCTTAGAAGCTTGAAAAATCCATGCAGCCATAAACCACAAAAATGTCAGTTATTTCATCTTGTGTGGATTAATTCATGTCTTAACAAATAACAATTGTTTTCCGGACGTAATGCCAAATCCATGGGTAGAAGAATTGTGCCTGACAGTGACAAAGACCAAATTTATGCTTGACGCATACAGATTCTAATTGCCAGGCAGAATTGTAAAAGATGTCATATCTATATATTTCAGTACATGTATGACGTACGTGCATAGTTAACTGCTGACGATCAAAATGATAGGATTCATCTGGATGGGCAGATAAGAAATGAAATGGGGTTTAACATCCTACTGTTCTTGTCCGATTGGGAAAATAAGAACAATTACAATTTTTCAATTTGCGAGTCTGACAATTGTGTGCCTAGTCATTTAGATGGGACAAAAAAAACAAGATCCATATACAAATGGATGTGCAGTCGTTCGCATAAAAGAACCAACCTTCATAGTTGAAAATCAAAGAAAAGGAGACAGAAATGCTACTGTCTGTTTACACATAGAACTAGAACACTAACGGGAACGCCCACTCGGTGACGTATAACGGTGATGACATAATTATGTTGTACATCGCATGCGCGAAGTCAATAAGGCACAAGTAACTTCCGGCCGTATGTCAACATGGCAGAAGCGTACGACGTCCTGGAATTTCAAGAACTTGACGGTGTAATAGATGTAAGTTATTCATAATTTTAATGAGTTTTTTTTAAATTAGTTATATAACATACCATCGGGAGTATAAACCATTTATTTTCGGACATTAAATTATCCGAACACACGTTTGTGTATCATTTTCTACTACATATTATAAAATTATTATTAATAAATTATGATGACATTCACATTTTATTTTTTTTATTTATTGTTTTGTGTATATTGTTGTTAGCCTTTGGCATGTCCGTGCCAGTTTTGGCTGGTTTCCCAGTGCCCTTTTCTTGTTTATAACAAGGGGTTTTACATAGGCTAAGCCTGTTCCCCAATCCCATTCAGACATCTTGAATAAAAATATTGTTTATAAAAAAAAAAATGTGTATTCTTTACTACAGCTTTTCTTTGCTAAAGATTTGTTTGAGACATCTCAACCTGTCGTTCCAGTAGCATCCGTAAGTTTTCTACATATACAACATACATGCATATAGTCACATAGTGTTCGTAGCAAATGGGCAAGTTATGAAACTCATTATAGTCTCGACCATGTCTATATATTTTTTTTTTCTTCTCAAACGATCAAATTGCTTTGGAAATGAAATGAAATGGGGTTTAACGTCCTACTGTTCTGCTCCTATGCTGGGCTAATGAAGACGGGCATACGCCATAAGGTGTGATTTAAGGGAAATTTTGCCCGGGCAGCGGCTCTATCACCTATTCTTATATCGAATTCCAACTGCAACGGGATCTTTTACGTGCATTCCAATGTATACAGGTGACCTCGGGTTTTCGTATCATCCGAAGGATTAGACAGCTGTCCTTGTCAGGCCCTCCTTACTGCATCACTGAAAAGGGGGAACCACGCCGGAAAATCTCGGCCAATGCAGGGATCGAACACCCGACCTCCAGGCTAGCGAGCCAGCGTCTTACCCACTTAGCCACGTGATCCCAAATTGCTTTGGAACAGTTTCTTTTATTTTGTATAATATTTACTTTAAAGGGACAATAACACTCTTGCTGGCTTGAAAGCTCCAGAAAATAAATAATATCTCTAAGTACTAGATGTTTAAGTGTCCCACCTGTTGTGTAAATAAACCATTACATCCTATTTTAATTGTCGAGAGGGTTCGAAAATAGTTTTAAATCGAAGTTTCATTTGAAAAGGTTTACGTTAGACGTTTCAAACCATTATGTTGAATTTTTTAAATAAGGTGTGTTAAGATGAAATTTGTATCATCAATTAATTGAAATATTCTAAAATAGCCTTCAAAGGCTAATATCTTCGCTCGCAATAGAGTAATTTGAATGAAATTTTCAAATTAGTCATTTTACATTTTTTATCTTCGAACTATTATAGCAAGAATGGCTAGCTCTTTATCAAAATCTTACATAATGTATATTTAAGAATAATTTAATACATTTATAAAGCTCACACATTACAAGTTGTGCACCTGTATAAAATTTATATAAATTTTGTTATCATTGTTAATATTTTATACTGAGATGCAATAAAAATAATACATCACTTTTATAAATGGATGAATGTAAATCTTGTTTGAAATGAATCCAGGTTTAACGCCCTACTTAGTACTTTTCAGCTCAATTTTGTTTTAAAGATTTGCTTTAATCTTGCAATTAAGGATGTAACAACATCATATTACGATGATAACATGTGAGAATGTTTTGAAGATTGCGTAAACGCACCCCGAACAATTCTCAATCAAAAAAATTAAACCCAACAGAATCAGTATGTTGATTTTTCTGGTACACACGTGGGGTATATAATGCAGCTTTTAAAAAGCTAGGTTTTGTGGAAGGTGCAAAGTTATGCCACGTCATCTCAGAGGTGCTATTTCATTGCGTCTCGATATATTTTGTTTACTATTATCAACCTGGCCCCAAGTTCACAAAGCATTCCCAGACTTAAGAATTTGCTCAACCTTCAATCACTGTTTTTGAGAAATATCTTTGATCCAGAAACACAAAACTTTGCACAGTTTCTTATTGATATATTTACATTAAAACAACAATAGTTAGTAAAGTGCTATATTTGAGTTAAAATAAGACAAACAATTTTGAGTAAAACCTTAACTTAAGACTGAGAATGCTTTGTGAACTTACTTATTAACTACAATACAGTAATAACAAGAAATAAAAAATCTGTAGAACACTGCTGATTAAGTTCTAGATTTAATCCTAGATTCAATCACATTTATATTTTTATACTTCCAATATTGATATTAATTCCAATAGAGCCAGGAAATGTTTAGTTTAATTATACACTTTCTATTTTGTTGTATGAAATTATCTGTATAATCTGTGTTTTTGTTACTTTCATTGTGTGAAATGCTTGCAGCAAAGTGCTGTAAATAAAATACCTGACATCACTGATCACAGTTTAACTCTATAACTTCTCATTTGACCTCAAATCTATGTGGAGTCGAGTCAGTTGGAAGAAATAAATCAAAATGGAGTGAAATCTACATTTTAATCAAATTCATACCACATGATTATATTCTATCACTGTTTGCTCGTTTATATGGCAACTATATATTATTGCTAAGCTATTTTTGAATTGTAAATTACATTTACAAGTATGTAAATATTGATTCTTTGAATTATATATTGTCAATCAAAATCTGAATATGCAATGTGCTATGTAGCCATATATGTGAAATAAACTATTATTATTACTATTTACTTTCTCTGTAAATCTCTGTTAATCTGTCGACAACTTAAACAAATTTCTTTTTGAGTGTCCTCAACAAAACTATTACATACAGAAGCAAGTACACAGCTTTCGTAATTTCTATGTTGACTTATTTGTGTTCATGAAAATATCAACCTGTCTGATATATCTTACAGTTGTAGGCTGACATTGAGAATAAGACTGTAAATGTTTTGATGTTAAGCCCCCACATATCTTCATATTCTCAACAGTTCTTATAAGTAAATCTATAGATGTAACTTTAATTTGAACAGGAAACAAAAATTATTATATTGTACTTCACAATTCAAGTCCTTGTCAATGGTTAAATGGTATGTTACACTTTTATCTTCAGTTTTAAACAGATAGATATAATCACTTGAAGACTGACATAGCCACAAAGCAGACATTTGACATAAAAATGATTTCTGCAACATCTGAAAGGTTACTTCGTTCATATGTAAACATTGAGTTTCCTCGGTTTTCCTTGGACTCTGAATAAAATAGACAAATTCATAAAATTCAATTAAAACAAGAAGAATTGGATTCTGATACATGTATTCATAATTTTCTCGGTTTCTGAATAAAATCGAAAAAATTACAGAAGTAAATATAAAGAAGAATCGGATATTCATACAAGTATTTATAAATAAAATTATGGGAGATTACAGAAAGAGCTAGCAGTTCTCATTATAATAGTTAAAAAATAGATAATGTAAAGGGAATTTGCTGAAAATTTCAGTCAAATTCATCCACCCTGAACCAAGTATTTAATGATTAAATTTTGGGCCTAGCCTCGATCAGCATTACTATAGTCGGTACGATAAAAAAAAACCATGGTCTCGATTATCGATTTTTTGATTTAATCAGAAGTAGCAGACTGGGCTCTAATTCAGTATATATCACAGGCTAGCGATGCCATCGAGCGTTGATTATAGTCTGGATAAGTTAATTAATGTCTAATTAATAATTTAGATAACATTCCAGGCCTAAAGAAAGACCTGCAATCGACAGATTTAGCTCTTGCATAATGTCTGTTTAATATTGATGAATTAAATGTTCATATACTGATCTTTTATAAGGAAACATCGAATGTTCATATTCATAATTAAGTTAACAGAAATTTAAGTTACCGGTGACTTCCTTGGATTCAATTTCTTTGTTGTTACGCTTTTCTGTAGAAGAATTAAGGTTGATAGTCTCCCTAACCCTTCTTTTAATCTTCGATATGTGGACCCAGAATTTTTGTAAACATCTGAAATATTCATAAAATCAAAATAAAAAGGTTCCTACATACAAAACAAAAGGTTCAGATATAATTAATTTTTTTTCCATGCTTGTTGATTATTCATACCGGGAACAAGATTATTTCGGAATTTAAAAGTAAAAGGATTTGACAGGTCAAGGTCAGTCATAAATAAATATACAATTTTAATTTTTATGGAGCTGCTCAGTTAAAACTTTGACCTTTAAAAAAAAATAATAATTAGTAATTCATAAAATTAAAGTAAAAGAAGATTGTTGAGAGAGAATCGTCATGCTGTCACACACTCATCGGGTGTAGTATTCGTCAATTTCATAACAAATTGCAAGTAGACTAGGCCTAGCTACGGCACTAATGTAAACAAACCTATATGCATACAACTTTGATGAGAGAAAGGGTAAAATCTAACGGGCAAACATGAAAATACAGACATTCAGCTAGTATGGGTTTAACTTAACTTCATTGTAGGTTGTCAGGGTGGACTGCCAACTAGAATCTACATAATTAATTTCTTTTGATTTGAGTTTTCACTTACTTTTTCAACGAAATAATCCGGCTCAACGTGTCTTGAACATATTGTCAAGGTCTTGTCATTTATCGGGTCTGATCTGGTAGACTGTATGATACGTAATGATTCTCTCTCCACTCTATGTTGTTTTTGGGTAAGCGATAGAATGATCAACCCCGATTTCTTTTATTGCAGGCGGAACATCCGAACAAAACACAATTCGCGCCAGGCATTTTGTTAGTGCGAGCAGAAACCGGAAGTAAGCTGTGCCCGATATCAGCGTCAGAGGCCCGCCGTCACATAAGGTAGTGACGTCACACGGTGGGCGTTCCCGTTAGTATTCTAGTTCTATGGTTTACAGAAACAAACCAGCAGTTGCCTGGCAAGATATGCCCACATTTTTCA